GACCTGAAATTAGTGAGGTGACAGCATCTAGTACCAATGTAAGTTTTTCTGTTGTACAGAAATGTGATACTTCCGTTGAAGAAAACGTTTCTAGCATAACAAAATCTGATGAATGTGAAAGTGACCCTCAAAGTGTTACTTCCCACCCATATGACATTGGACTTTTTTTAGATGATATTACATTACGTTCTTAAACTTAAAAAATCAAATCAAACTTTAACTAAACAATGTTGTCTAAATAAAAAGTCGAAATTGTCTAGCTGTCTAAATTAGGGAAATAATAGTGCTTTATTACAAACTCGAATTTCTTTTAGTAGTTTCAGAAAGTTATGAACACCCCCCTTGAAAAAATTCTGCGTACGCCACTGCATGCACCTATAGAATACTATACATATAGAACACGAATGTAGAAGCAACTATATATTCAGACGATGGCAACTGTTCATCTTAGACGTGGCTATGAGACCAAATATTAGGCATGTCATTCCCACAGTTTAAAAGTTGCCTTTTCCCAATATAAATCATTCAAAAACTTTCTTTCTCTGAATGTCCTTCTAAGTTATTTCGTTCCAACCTCTTTTTCAGTCAGGTGCCCATGTAAAATGCAACTCTGGTGCAATCTCATGATCTTATTCTTAATACGTGGCATCTGATGTGTTTTCTTAATTTGGGATTGACCTTGGGATTTGTTTCGTTACATTGTTCCGAAATCGAAATTTTATTGGAATCAAGCCTGTTTTCTTTTTCCATTTTGCTTCCTGCTATAATGCACAATCATAAAACAGAATTTATTCAAATGTCTTACGTGCAATCATTGTTATGAATATATATTGATTGGACTAAAAGTATATTTATATAGTTATAAAAGATTTGTGAAAAGATTTATTGCCAATGCTATGTTTAGGATAAAAAATATAAAATATTGTCAAACTTATTTGCAATAATATATTTTTAATTTTATTTAATATATTAATTTTATTTCATTGGTTTTGATGATGCTGTCTAAAAACATAACTTATGATAAAACAAAAAATATATATATATTAGTAAATTGGAACTGTAGTTGTAAACGAATTTATAACATCCGAATTCAATAATAAGATTCTTTACAAAAAAAAATCACAGTTATGCTTAAAACTTTCTGAAATATATGTATTTATATAACATGTGTCCATAGACGATATCTATGGAAAACTGTGTTTAGAAAATAATATTTGAATTATCTTTACAAAACCAAAATTCACTTAAATCATTTAAATTGGTTATAGTTCTTCGTAATTGATTACTCTATTTTATAATTGTTGTAATACATTGATTGTGAAATTCTCCCTTAGATATCTGGTCATTAATGAGAAATGTGTCAAAGAAGATTGTAGAATGGAGAAAATTTGTCAAGACAAATGTCCGGACGGATATGAGTAAGTTGCTCTTAGAAACATATCATTTATATCTATTGAAAATGAAAATATTTAAAATGTCCTTCTCCTTAAAAATTTTTTAATTTGTTAGGTAGCAATTATTTCACTTAGTGTGAATGTTCTCTACACACATACTACTTTTATTTAAAAAACAAGGAAGTACTACTCAAATGGTGCTGCATAAAAAATAAAAAAACGAAAGTTTGTGGGTGAAATACAAGCGAAATTTATTATAATTTTCTTAAATGTTGTAATTTGAGAAAAAATAATAGATGCAATATTATATCTGCAGACATTTATTTTTGATTCACCCTTTGGTGACAAAATTTTGAATACTCATTATTTTCTAGATGAATAAATTGTTATCTTATTATTACATCACCCACTCATGATCTTGTGAGGATTGGTTATGATTGCATTTTTGCAACATGGTCATTTATGGTGACTATGTGTATATATCTTCACAATTTGTTGAACTATATTCCGGTTTGTTTCATAAAACTATGTTTATTTTTCATGGAGTGTTCCGCAATCATTGCCCTTCATATTCTTTTCTCTAATTCTTGTGAACAATATCGAAAATAAGAGCTTAATTTAATATTTAAGTTAAGACAAAAATTACGGGAAGAAACTGAGTGAGTAAAATATAATTATTAGAAACATTTTAAAGTTTTTCCGTATGTTTTCAACCTTTCATTTCCACAATACTGATATTCAGACTGTGACATCACTTTATTTATTTGTATCCTCTGATGCACTTTCTTTGTAACTTCATTTTTGGTGAGAATTCTCTAAAAACACATGAAGGATGAACACAAGTTCTATTTTTAAATAGGAACACAACCTTCCACCGTTGTTTACCAACTAAAGTGAAACAAACGACATCGAAGCTGTTACAGTCTACTTTGCCATTTCTTGAAGTAAGAACATATTAGCTCAATTTGCCTTTTAAACTTATACAACATACTATTTGAAACATTTGAATGCTAATCCATAAGATTTTTATGTTATAGAATATAATAATATTTATATAACTGAAAGTGAATGAGTTTCAATTTGATCTCTTGTCATTTGATTTCAGACAGGAAACAAGGATTCCTTTTTTTTATGTATCTCATAAATTTTATTTATTCAATAGGAAATGGGTTCGGACATCAGCCTCTGCTGGAAAGAAATAATACTTTTATGCCTCATTAGTATTGGTAAATGTTTTTTTCTTCCTCTTCAATATTTACTATAAGTAGTTTTACTGTTATTACTTTTAATAGCTTGAGTACTTGTAGTAGAGTGTAGTAGATTGAGCAAATAATAAACAAATTCATTTTCAAAAGCAATAAATTATCTTTAGAATCAGAGAAATTATTCAACCCATTCCGCTCTCAAGTCTTCAATATTAATTATAAGTTATCTGGAGAAAAATATCTCAACACCTACCGAAAGAAGCATCATTATTGTGCGAATGATTTCCATGGTTCGGTGGGAGTTTTTTAAAGTTTTATGGGTTGGAAACTCTGAGATATGAATGAATATTCTTCACAAATCTGCTCACCCAGCTTTATGGCAATATTTCGGGGGAAAAGCCCATTTCTCTTGCAGTCGGAACAAAATATTCATTGTGGCTCCCAACGAACAACTCTTAGGGATAAATTGGAATGCAGAGAGACCGCAGCCAGCATTCCTTTCATCTGTGTTTGGATGACAGGAAGTAATTTTCGACCTTTTAACTGAAGAAAAGTCTCTTAAGATTTAAGCAGGCTGGCATCCTATTAATGTAAGCTTCACTACTATAAGAGTCTGTACCATTGGATGGCCGGATACTTTTTTGTAAATTTATATGATTCTTAAAACCTTATTCACTCTCAAATTCTACAATGAAAAATTTAAAATCCGTAAAAAAAGGCTCCTTAAGTCATTTAAAGGACATGTCACTACTTTCTTTGAGGAAAATGTGTAGTCTCAAAAGTGATGGGGAGGGAGAAATGTGAGAGAGAAATTTTCATTGTCTGCCAACTGGATTCGAATCCAGAGTCTCAAAGTATCTCTCGTAGCAGAGGATGCTCTAACCGTCATAATTGTATTCTCTCCGGTAGAGGGAAAGTTAGGAAGCTTTATAGAGTGGCCGTTGCAATGACACATTATAGCATTCGTTACACAAACTTAACAGTTTTTAAAATGTAGTGAAATAAGCAAAAAATTTAAAATTAAACTACCGACTGAGTTATTGCTAGCATATTTTACAAATTGCAACCCTTTTGTGCTATTGAAATTGGAAATTATATCATGCTGTGTCATTATGGAAGCCACTCTATATTTTTTGCTTATTTCGCTACTTCTTAAAAACTGTTAAGTTTTGTGTAATGAATGCCATAATGTGTCATTGAAACGGTCACTCTAAAAAGCTTCCTCACTCGCTTTAGACTGGAGTGTACATTATTGTGAGGGTAGAGAATTCTACTACAAACCTGGAGGTTCACGGTTCGAATTTTGACAGCAGCCAACAAACATCTGTTTTACACATTTTTCAGTCACATTGCTTTTGAGATAATAAATTTTGCTCAAAAATGAGTATATACTGATTCATGGGCTTTTCAAATTAGACTATCAATTGTTTAGGAACTATTGTGGCACATTTTTGCTATATTTTGAGCAACCTTTTTTTTTTCAGTAACTTAAATTATCCTTTGAAATAATTTTTTTTTTGTTGCCCATTCGTCTACTAAGGTTGCACTTTATCAAATTAGATCAAAAGTTATACAGAATTTTTTTTCTTTTTCTAATTCTTATTGTGTGTTTGGCGATTAATTACAGCATAATTATGGTAATATTGTTATTGTCTTACTTTTCAGGGCTTTCTGTGTTGTTATTGATCGTTCTCCGATTCTGTGCCTCCATCATCATCTGGGCTGTTCTAATAATTGTCACGATTGGTTCATTAGCAATCACAGTTTATATTTGGTAAAAACCATCATATTTTTTTGTGTTAAAAATACCTAAGGGTTATAATACCCACCATTCAGGGTTATAAAAGAAGCTAAGAGGACGGCATTGCAGATTGCATAAAACTGATCAATCAGATTATATAATAACAACTAAAGTGAATATAAAATCATGTTAATAGTAGATGTGACCAGATCAGAAGCATTTAATAGTACTTTTTTATGGTAAAAGGTAATTGTTTCAAAGTACAAAAAAAGTAAAAGATTTCTAAAGTACACTCTCACAGTAATATCACTAGTTGTAAATTTTCGACTACCCTAAATAACTTCTTCAATAGCAGCAATTTATTCATAGGAAAACACTTTTTTTCTTTCCCTTGGCCTTAATAGACTTGATATTGATGCCTATATCTATACATCACGAAAAGTTGAATACAATTTGTCCTTGACAGTGTCCTAATTTGACTGAACAGCTCCCAATTAACGATAAATGTTCGGCTCACTTTCTGCTATTTAAATAGTACTACTGCACATTCTTCTGTTCTCGACGCCCTACAGCAGAAATAAGCAGATATGGCGGAAAGCGAAGCAGCTTTATTTTAGCCTAGTAGACAAACTAAAAGAAACCTTAATTAAACTCTCTTGCAGACAAACTAAATTTAACTAAAAAAATTTATTATTCTTTTTTGTTTTATTCTTCTTTCTTCATCTCGCTGAGCTTACGTGAATGTTACTAGAACGGCTTTTTTAATGAAAATCTGAAAAAGTAGGATGCAACATTGGCTAAGTATTTGATAAAATTAGTAGACTTTTAATTTATTTCTAATTTTTCAACTTTTAGAATGCTTTAAACTTTATTTACTAACAAACTTCGTTTAATTTACTCGGTATTTAATTTCTTTTTTTCTTTTAAATACTACTTTAAATGATGATTTATTTAAATAAAATAAAAATAATGAAAATGAAAAATGTTATTTTCCTTAATTTTGCTATCGCAGAATTTTTTAAATAAGTCAGAAAATTTTAAGCTAATAAAGCATTCGTCTTTTCGTGATTCTATTGAACCAGCAAACAAAAACTTAATATTTATCAGCAAAAAAAAGATAAATGATTTCAAGTAAACATTTAATAAACTCTAAAGAGACAATTAAACAATAAACTATAGACAATTAAAATAATATTATTAATAAACAATTAAACAATCTCAATAGACAGTTTTACACAAGAGGCGATTATAAAATATTGTTCATTTGTATTTGAAATAAACATGAGGATAGATTCCTCAAGCTAGTGGTATTCTTTTACAAGATTTCAAGGCAACCCAGTTACACATTTCCAGACACTCTCTATATATCTTAGTGGAGTCACATGGTTTTATAGTGCGTTGTTTGAAAACTCGATACATTTTAGAACTTATAAATATAGAGGTTATTTTTTATTTGAGCTACTCTAGCATATTATCATACACTATATGTGTCGTATTTGTGCACTTGTTTTCTTTAATAATTCATTTGTGTTTAAGATGTTCAGTAAAGATTAAGTGTTGATGACCATAGTTATACTTACTAGATTAGAACCATATTCTTAAATATGTAAGAGAATTACAGAATATAAAAGTGTGCATGATCTGCCATTCGAGATATAAATTTTAACCTGTACGATTCATTCCCGCAAACATTTTTCTATTTTAACCAGCTAAATAAGTTTTCTATAAATCGTTAAAAATATTAGTACCAAGTATGGAGATTTTTTTATTTTGTAACCGGTGTTAAACAGCCGACTCGATTCTGAGTTTGCGACTATCTATGTTCAACTCCGCAGAGCCTCGTCATTTTGATCCCAACCCAGAAGAAGACCGGTGCGAGCCGGGAGCAAAATTCGTATCAACCAAACCACAGCAGGAAAACGAACCTGTGTCACCTCATTGTGAGGCGAACGCTCTATCCCCTGAGCCACCGGAGATTTAGCATTTTTTCTTTTTTAATTTAGAAAAGAAGAACAACTTTAATATAGATGCAAAAAAAAATCTTTTTTTTCAGCCGAGTTTTCTTTGCCGTAGTAAAATTTCAATAAATTAATTTCCAGATTCCTTTAAGTTGTAATAACGGAGTATTTAATTTACGTTATTGTAAAGTGCATCCAAAATAACTACTAATACACCTGGATTAAAATTTAAAAAGAATAAATAATTTTAAAGTTCAGTTAATTTCTGAAACAGAATATGCTTTAGAATACCCGTGTAAAAAATAATAATAATAAAATTTTAAATAAATAATAAAAAAATAAAAAAATAATAAAAAAATAAAAATAATAAAAAAATAAAAAAATAATAATAAATAAATTTTAAAATTTTATAATATAATAAAAAAATTTTAAATTCAGGTACATGTGGCATGAGAAGAAAAAACGTTTAGAGGAATACGATGGTCCAAATAAAGATCTGAAGGAGAGACGCGTTATGTATTGGCTGATAGCCGCAGTTCTTTCAACCATTTTTACAGTAAGTATTTTTAGTTTAAAACAAATCATTAAGAATTTGAGGAGAACAAATTCTCCTTTAAAATTATTGATGCGTGAGAACCCATTTATGTAGTACTGCCATAAAAAAAGTGGTATAGATGAGACTATATTAAAACAGTGGTAGACATGCTTTTTATATCAAGTGGCTATTTCTGTCGGTTATGTACACTGCGCAAAATAAAAAACAGACCACCTTGAATAACTTTTAATCAAATGATTGGATTTTCACGTTTTTGTGAGCAATCTTAAAGATTCGAAAGGCTTATTTCAAGCATGCTAATGAATGAGTGCAGATGTTCTTTTGAGTAAAACATTAGTCCGAAAAACGTACTTTCTGTGAATAAACTTACCTCTTTTTCGAAACAAATGTGAAAATAAATTTTGAAGAAAATTCGATTTCTCAAAAAGTATTCGACCGATTTCACTCACATTTTGTATTTTACCATTTGAAATTGCATTCTTTAAAATGATATAAAAATTTTATACCTTTACAATTCAAAAGTTTTTCGATCATTATTAAATAAAATAATAAAAAGTAACAAATATCTTTTAAAAGTTATATTTTGCATAGAATTGTCAGAGGATAAACGAATTTTATAAATGTGTGCAAAAAATTTTCAATTCGCTTAAAAACATCTCGAGATATAATTAAATACGTAAAGAACAAAATTTAAATGAAAGGGTTCAAACTTTAGACCGCTCTCCTGACCGAACTATAGGAACCCTATTTACCAAATTGCGGCTTTATTTTGGAGGTCAGAAATCTGAATTCATGATATAAAAAAAAAGGTACGTTTATTCGGAGAAAGTACGTTTCGTGTCTGACTTCGTAACTTAGTCTGCACTAAATTAAGCATAAGATTGAGTCATAGAATCCGATTATTAGATCAAAAGTTATTTAGGGTGATGCTTTTTTTGCCCACTATACAATTAATTTTTTTTCTATTATGTCCTGTACTTTGACATCAGATCTAAATATAAATATTCAGATCGATGTATTATGATATACAGAAATATCTTGCCGCTACAAAAGATATCCTAATAATCAAACCCCTGTACTATATTCGTTTTGGAAAATAAGAATTTACCTTTTAAAAGGACGAAAGAATGAAAGAATTATTTTAGCAAAAATTCACTAACCCATGGATTTACATTCGGCATTTTTACTTTAAAGAGTCATATATCTGTATGTGAATTGAATAATGAAATATTGAAAAATATTGCTCGTTTTGAATAGTTAGTTGGGTCATTTCAATGCAAGTATTTTAAAAGAAACGAAAACTGAAAAAGTCATCGATCATATAGAACATGCTTGCATCGTAACAGCATGTTACTGAAGAACAACCCATTTCAAATAAAATACTTGCCGATGCTTTATATTTAGTGTCTTTCTTTGTTCAATGTCATCATTACTTTTGATGCAAAGCGAATTTTCATCCCATCTATGTTGATAAAAGGTCGAACTTTTATATTTCAAGTACTTTAATCGAAAACTCTTGGTTAACATTTATTTGAATGAAATAATCAAGTAAGAAAAAAAGTGTCATAATTAAGATCTAGATCAGAAATGGCATCGAAGTAGGCATTACAGTGCGTAAAATGAATAACAGGCCACCCTAAATAACTTTTGATCTAATGATGGGATTTTCACATTCCAGAATTAAATTTCATAGGTTCGAAGAGGTGACCTTAAATACGCTTATTAATTAGTGCAGACGATATTTCAGATACTGAAATCAATTGTAATTTTAAAAGTCAATTTCTCAGGAAATATTTGACCGATTTCGCTTAAATTTTTTTATTTTGTCATTAAAAATTGCTTTCATTAAAATGATGTAAAAATTTGTATACCTTACAATTCAAATATTTTTTACTATTATTAAATAAAATAATACAAAATAATAAATATTTACTAAAACTTGGATTTTCACACGGAATTATCTTTGGATAAACAAATTTTATAATTGTGTATAATTTTTCAATTCGCTTAAATAGCTCTCGAGATGTGATGAAATTAAGGCATTCAAACTTCAGACCACTCTCCTGATCCCCTATATTTTTGAAGTCTGAAATCTGTCGAAAAAAAGTTATTCAGAGAAAATACGTTTTCATGTGTCGTTTGCACTAATTAATTAGCATATTTGAAGTCACCCTATTGAACCATTAAGATTGAGGACATGAATATCTAATCAGTAGATCGAAAGTTATTCAAGTTAGTCCATTTATATTTTGCGCATTTGAAAGTCAAACCTAATTCTGATCGAAAGCTTATGAGTACGAAGAGGCAATTCATTGCTGCTGAATTGACAGACTAACAAGCTGAGTTAATAACTAATTTAATTATTGAAAGAAAAGAAAAACTCATTGAAAACCTATTAATATTTTTACTTATCAATGTTAATTAAGATTTTTTTAAAAATTGTATCCAACTAAAGAAGTTATTCTAATAGAATATTTTTTAACGTTCTTAATACATTATTAAGAATTCAGAAGCACACTAAAAGCCTATAAATTCTCTTAAATGAACTTAGAAGCTTTAAAATTATGCAAGGTGCTTAAAATAATTTAGCCTCAAATAATGCACTAAAATTTTATTGTTTATTAAAATACTTTAATCACATTTTCAAATAAGCATGAAAATATTTATATTTGTAAGATGTTTACAAATTTCTAAAAGGGATCATAGCGCTGAACTGTAAACGTATCACGCCATTTTCCGTTTTTTTCCGCACCTTATTATATTTTGACTAGGACTGGGCGATATAAGAAATTATATATCGTGATGCATCGTCAGTTTTGCATCACGATATAGCGATGTATCGCGATATAGTATTTTTGAATTTCATTTACTTGTAAGGCACAGAAAGTCAGATTTCTATCAAAACTTCATACTCAGATTGATTTAAATCAATTTATAAATTTGAAGATATATATGTTTTGCTTAAGAAAGATATTAAATAAATTGACTACAATGTACAAATCTTACTTAAAATATTTATTGAAATGTTTGTTTAGAAATTCATAATACGCGTAAAACAAAGTGTTAAAAACTTTTTTTAAAGCGTTTTTTACAAATTAATATTTTCTTGTACTATTATGCATAAATAATTACATAATTATTAAGTTCGATCGTAATGTTCAATTTCTAAATGAAACGTTAAAAATTATTTGTATGTTTAAAACAAAGTGCTAAATAAATTTTAGAAAAAAAAAACGCTTTTAAAACACTATTTTTTATTATTATCATTTCAGTTATTATAGTTCTATTATAGTTCATTTACGTCACACTAGAGCTGCACAATGGGCTATTGGCGACGGTCTGGGAAACATCCCTGAGGATGATCCGAAGACATGCCATCACAATTTTGATCCTCTGCAGATGGGATGGCACCCCCGCTTCGGTAGCTCGACGACCTGCACGCGAAGTCGAGCACTTTACGGTAGAACAGTTTAACGAGGACCAATACCGCACACCCTCGGTCCCTACGCAGACTGATCCAAGTGGTCACCCACCCGCACACTGACCGCAGCCAGTGATGCTTGACTTCGGTGATCTGCGGGGAACCGTGTCTTAACGATCAGTCCACTGCGGGACCTTATCATTTCAGATAAATAATTAAATTAAATTAAATAATGACCGAATTATGAACGAAAAACAAAGTAATTTCTTGAAAATAAAAAAATTGTGATGCTCGATAATATATTTAGCTAATTAACAAATAATATGAAAAGAATATTTTAAAAAAAAATTATTATACTCTCTAATAAAACGAAGTGTTAAATGATTTAAAAAAATGAATAAAATACGCAAACCTTTCAACTTTTTTTGTATAAACAAAGTTGATTGACTTATGTCCAAATCCAAATGACAAAAATAAATTTTGCCTTAACTTTATTTCTAAAATTAAAAACAACAAGATTTATAAATTTAAAATCAGTAATAAAAACTCATTAAATTATTAGTAGTTTCATCCAAAAAGATAACCTAAATAAAAGATAAAAAAATAACCTAACAAATTCAATTCTTTATGGGCGCCTAAATTAGATTGCCGATAATTTTCCCATTTAAAAATAAAAAGAAGTTTTTTTTTAAAAAAAACTTATCTAATTAATGAAGAAACTCTTCTTTATATATTCTTTTCAATAATAGATTGCCTTCAGAGCAAGATAATATCGGCGATCACGAAGTTAGTCCCACTGAAAATAATCTACAAGAAAAGTCGCGACAAAGAAAAAATAAGCTAAGAGGTGCGATCGGTGTAGAATTAGAACTCTGATTCTAATTCTACAGCTCACCAATCAAGGCCGTTTCAACATAACGAAACGAACATCGTCTTCCACAGCGCGAGTCGACATCGGAACGTAAGAGAAGAGTCTTATATCGCTATATCGTTTTCTTATATCCTTGCGTGTCTTACATCGCTATATCGTTTTGCACTCGTTGTCTTTACTCGACGGCTTAAATCAGATTTCTGATGCATGGCCTTGAATGAAAGTCGCTGTATCGTCTTGCCGATATATGCGTTAAATCGATATGTCTCGATACATCGATTTATAGCCCAGTCCTAATTTTGACCCATGAATTTATTCAATGTCTTATGAGATTTAATACTAACTATTGTCTTCAAAATGAGACAAACAGAAAAATCTATGTGATTCAAGTCTGGTGAATAGTGTGACTGCATTTGTGCTTTTAGAAGGCCAGAAAAATGCCATCATTCTTGAGTGCCATAAATGTGTTGGAGTATAATTTTGATGGAGGATGTATTTCTTGTTTCTGAAAAATATGGGTCCCCAAACATCTTCCAAAATGATAAGTTGCGATAAAAATATTTGGTCTTAAACTTCGACCGGGTCATTTTTGTCCCTTTGTAATTTTTTCAAAAACATTTAATATTGTAATAAAATACATATAATGAAATAACTTTATTTTTGTTTCCTAGGTTATCTATATTCTAGTCATCATATTTATGAGAAATAAAATTAAACTGGTAAGTGCGTCAGCTGACTTGTAATGTTCTAAAAATTGTGGATTTAAACGAAATGAGTTTGATGAAATGGTATATCTTTTCTTTCTGATTAATATGATGCATGCATATTTATTGGATAGTTACAAAACACTGTTGCAAATATCGAATCATTTTTTTGCTGTATAGATATTAAATGATAAATACACACAAATATGATGAACACTATAAATGGAAGCTTACCTTTATTCGAATCGACCACCATTTTTAAAGATAATATCTTACGCCATTGTCCGATGACGGAAAAAATCCTTTTAAGAGATAATTTGTTCCAATCACGCAATAAAGAAGCTTTGATGAAGACTTCTGTGATGCTTAGTATTAACTTCAGACTCTAGAATACCACAAACACAATAGTCTGAAGGATTTAGATCTGTTGAAGAAGGGGGCCAACCTTTTTGCTTAAAACATTTCAGACAATTGATATGGAGCCAAGCTTGCGTTGTGACTCGGTGTTACGGTGCAGAAGCTTGCTGAAATATCCAACCCTTTATGGTATACAATCTGTCAGCATGTAATATATGTGTCACAAATAATTCTTTTTTGTAATATTCAGCATTGATTTTTACCTCTTTATCTATGAATTTCAGAAGCAAATTTCCGTTATTTGACAGACACTGCAAACCAAACCATTACAGAATTCGTGTTCGGAAAGCGTTGAGCAGTTCTTACACTTTCAGTTATTTCATCGATGGTTGCTGAATATACAACATCATTTTCAGCATTATAGTTATGCGCAAAATATTTTCTCATCAGATAAAGACTATTCTGTCAACACTTGTGTCAGTGTGCCGGTTCAGCGATTTCTTGCTTCTTTGCAACTTTTTTTTTATTTTTTGAGCAGTTGTCAAGCCACAAACTTTTCTTTTGCGATAAGGGTGAAAACCTAGTTCTTTATTTAATATAACTTGCATAATACTTCTAGTCACGTTCTCTTCTGCAGCCATTTTATTAGCAGAGCACTGTGGGTTTCTTCGTAACTTTTCACAAATTCTTTTGATACATTTTTTTGTACGAACTGAGGTGGGACGACTGGACTTGTGTCGGATCTTTACAGCTATTAGTATCTAATAATCGATTTACAGTTCAATATATAATCTTCTTTTAAACCTAAGAGATTTTAATTGTTTAGAGATTCTACCTGCAGAAAATCCGTGATCTAACAGCTGTTTAATTATCAACCCTTTCGATTCCATCTTTAAATTTATTCTAAGTGTTTTGCTTTAAGCAAGAATCGTCTGCACTTATAGAAAGCACCAATTTCAAGAATAGTGAGAGAGAAATTGTTTCACCAAACGATTAAAATTAATTGATATTTTATATTTAGTGTTACAGTATTTTGTAGTTATTCTGTAACATCTTTTCTTCGTTGTTCACTTGCAAGAATCATTTATTGTAATNCGCCATTGTCCGATGATGGAAAAAAAAATTTTTTAAGAGATAATTTGTTCCAATCACGCAATAAAGAAGCTTTGATGAAGTCTAAATTTCTGTGATGCTTAGTATTAACTTCAGACTCTAGAATACCGCAAACACAATAGTTTGAAAGATTTAGATCTGGTGAAGAAGGGGGCCAACCTTTTTGCTTAAAAAATTTCTGACAATTGATATGGAGCGAAGCTTGTGTTGTGACTCGGTGTTACGGTGCAGAAGCTTGCTGAAATATCCAACCCTTTTTGGGATATCAATCTGCCAGCATGTAATATATGTGTCACAAATAATTCCTTTTTGTAATATTCAGCATTGATTTTTACCTCTTTATCTATGAGTTTCAGAAGAAAATCCCCGTTATTTGACAGACACTGCAAACCAAACCATTACAGAATTCGTGTTCGGAAAGCAGTTCCTAGGTCACTTTCAGGTATATATCATCGATGGTTGCTGACATCATTTTTAGCATTATAACTTAGATTTGTGCAAAATATTTTCTTATCAGAAAAAGACTATTCTGTCAACACTTGTGTCAGTGTGCCGGTTCAGCGATTTCTTTCTTCTTTGCAACTTTTTTTTATTTTTTGAGCAGTTGTCAAACCACAAACTTTTCTTTTGCGATAAGGGTGAAAACCCAGTTCTTTATTTAATATAACTTGAAATAGTACTTCTAGAATTGCCATTTTTGAGAGAAAAGTTTTGAGGGCCATCCTTGGTGGAATAAAAATAAATAATTCCTGGAGAAGACGATATAATACTGAACTGTATAAAATCTACAGAGAGCCAGATATTGTGAAATTCATTAAAATACATAGAATGAACTGGGCAGCTCACATTTTCAGAAGGAATGATGACTCAAATTTAAAAAAAATCCTGTTACACAAACCCCTAACGAACAGGAAAAGAGGTAGACCCAGGCTGAGATGGCAGGATTTAGTTGAGACTGATTTCCTTACTCTAAAGTAGAAAAACTGGCGAACAAGTGTCAAAAGTAGAGAGAAGTGGATTCGAATTCAAGGAAGGCACTGGCCCACCCTGGGCTGTCTAGCCAGATATGATATGAAGTACTTCTAGTCACGTTCTCTTCTGCAGCCATTTTATTAGCAGAGCGCTGTGGGTTTCTTCGTATCTTTTCACAAATTCTTTCGATACATTTTTTTGTACGAACTGAGGTAGGACGACTGGACTTGTGTCGATCTTTACACCTATTAGTATCTAATAATCGATTTACAGTTCAATATATAATCTTCTTTTAAACCCAAGAGATTTTAATTGTTTAAAGATTCTACCTGCAGAAAATCCGTGATTTAACAGCTGTTTAATTATCAACCCTTTCGATTCCATCTTTAAATTTATTCTAAGTGTTTTGCTTTAAGCAAGAATCGTCTGCACTTATAGAAAGCACCAATTTCAAGAATAGTGAGAGAGAAATTGTTTCACCAAACGATTAAAATTAATTGATATTTTATATTTAGTGTTACAGTATTTTGTAGTCACCCTGTAACATCTTTTCTTCGTTGTTCACTTGCAAGAATCATTTATTGTAATGAGTGGGTTAGCGATGGTCATACATAATAAAAAATATTAAATAAGGATTGCTGTTGCATTTTTATATTTTCTTTCACCAGATGAACAAAAATTTTAAAAACAAACTACGTAAAATTTGTGTTTGAAAATTATTCCTCTGAGCGAACCAATAATGCATTTTCAAAACCTTATCTTAATAGGGACGTTAGGGCACTAACGCTTTAAGTAGTGTGACTATATTGTTAAACTATTTAATAACTATATTGTAAGAATTTTCAGGGTTTTGCAAATGATCACAGCTGTAAAGGGTGTTAGTAAAAACAATTTTCAGCGAAAAATGAGGGGGAGTGTTGGAAAGTGCCCTTACTGGGAGAAAAGGAAGAAAACCATTGAAAAAGAATGACAAATTATCTTTATTACTTAAAACTTGACAACAAATGTGAGAAACATCTGTAATAAATCAGAAACGGAGTAAATGATGCAGACGCTAAGTTAATTCGATCACTCAGCCACCTGCTTGGAAACCGCTCATAATATCTTCTGCAGAAGTGTCTGTTAGAATTTTCATTCTAAAATTACTGTAAAAAAGCCCGGCTCCAGATTGTCCAGTTAACTGTAAAGTATACGGTTAGGAATATTTCTCTACCTTTACAGGTGTGAAACGGCTTACAACTGAAATGGTTAAGCAACAAAGAATACAAAATTTTATGGTTTTGTAGTCATTTACAACTAGCATGGTTGGAAAACTATAAAAATGAAGTGTAACTAGTTATTGGAGTTAGGTTGCGTTTGCTTTTTCGTAAAGTTATGTTTGCGTTTTGTCAAGTGAATTGTGGACCGTGGCTTAATTAGTTTATCTGGTGGTGCCATCTATCGTGAATGAGAGTTTTTCATTTAAATAGTTATCAATTGAGGAATGAAGGACACTGGAAACTCCTCTTGGTGTCAACGGTTCGAGCCCCCCCCCCCCNGCCCCCCCCCCCCACAACTGGATGAAGAGTCTCTGCTACCCAGATGCAAGGAACTAAGGGGTTTTATAAGGTGTTTACCACCTACTTAATACTATTTAGATTGAAGCATCCACTGTTGCATTAGGTGAGGCATCCGATGATGGAAAATTAAAATATGAACTCCTTATCGCATCTTTCAGCTTTCTAGGAACGTGCTTGATTAGCCATTGGCCTAGTTGGCTGCACCATCTCGGTCGTTGGCCATGGGCCTAGCGGAAGCGTATGAAATTTTAGTTGTTTAACCTTATAGCGTGAAATCAGTAAATAAACTATTTTTTTCACTATTTACAGTTTGAATACCATCTTTCTAATGGTTATTTGACTGTTTTTGGTTGAATATGGTAAAATAACAATGAAATAAAATGTTATTTAACCCTACTTTTCGAGAAATTTTTAGCAATTTACCTAAGTGTACATCCTTCTTTGTATTTGAATATAGGTGCTGATCTGGCATATGAATAGCAGCTGAATGACGGGCTCTGCGAAATGCCTATCACTCCCCCACTCCAAAAATATATGCCTTTACAGCATCTTCACTTCCGTATTACTACCCCACATTGTGGGGTGAAAGATGTTTTTCTTTCTTTTTGTAAATCTTTTGCAGTGATGACCATTAGCTTGATAATATATTTTATTTAATAACGGTTATTTTTTTACTCTTTAAGGTAGCTGCATTGTTTGAAGAAGCTGGAAAAGCAGTTGCTGCAATGCCTTTGATATTATTGCAACCAGTGGAGGTTAAAGTCTTATTTATTATTAAACTTTTTCGTTGGAAGAGAAATAACTGTTGAATTCTAAATCATGTTTCTTTCATGGAAGCAATATTAATGATTGTATTGTAACGAGACCTTTCCCACTTTTCATTCAGGTTTCAATAAAAATAAGTTCTTTTACCTTGCAATAAAAAAGGGGTGAAAGAAATAAAAGGTCACTGAGCTGCGAACTTAGCCTTACAATTGTTTGGTCATAAAATCTTCTTAGGCATAATATTTCATTGAAGAGATGGTATTTTTTCCCTCTTCATTGAATTAGTTTTAAAGTTTCGATAAAAATTTATACACCTTATTAAATGTATTGTTATATTTATCTTACTTTATTTTATTTATTTATTTTGAATTTTTCTTCTTTTTACCACAAAATAAATCATTTAATAAATTTAGAAAATTTAATTTTGTCAGATTTTATTTAATTTTTTTTTTATATTTCATTTTCCCACGCAATTTTAGAAAATTGCATTCCTTAATATAAACGTTTTCAAAACTTCTGTTTTTTCGTTATTGAGAATTTTTCGTTATAGAGGGGATTTATTAAAAGGTATTTTTTTTTCGAAGTAAAAATGGTAGCTAACTGAAGGCAATAAACACTTCATAAAAATGTGAATATAATACGTTTTTTTCAAGCCACTGGTATGAAATTAATTCCTAAGTAAAAGATTACAGTTTTTTCGCAAAATTCGTTATGAGTGATTTCTACAAAAATTGTTTTTTTAATTACTTAATGAAAATGAAAAAAAAAAATTTCGAAGGTAGCAAACAAGAACTTGATATTTTACTTCTCATCATTCAGTGAATTGAAAGAAAAAGAAAATTTTCTGAAAACAACTGACTAGAATATTATTTCTCCAGGTAGTGAAAAAGATTAAACAATGCATTTCTATTCTATTTCTTTTTTTTAAAAAAACTATCAGAAGAAAACATACCTCTTTCATATAAATGAGTAGACACACACTTTTCAGACTTTGCACGAATCTTCACATAAATGTTACCCTCACACTTTATGTAAATGTGAATATAATCCCACTTCAGATACCATAACAAAGGAATTTTTCTGTAAATAAAATATGAATTCTCATCTGAAAAAACTTTTTCACTCAATTTTTACTAAATTAATATTTAGTTAAAATCAAGATTAAATTAATAAATATTGTAATTAAATTAAATTAAATTTCTCACTCATTAATAATTCTCACTTAAATGAATGGTAAGTGCTTCATTAACGTTGCACTAGAACGGCACAAAGAGCAATTGGCGAGTGTCTGGGAAACATCCCTGAGGATCCAAAGAAATCTTTTTGCAATTTCGATCCTCTGCAGAGGGGATGGCTCCCCCACTTTGGTAGCCAGACGACTTGCGCACGAAGTGACGACTTGCGCGCGCGAACAGTTTAACGAGGACCGATACAGCGCACCCCCGGTCCCTATGCAGGCTGATCCAAGTGGTCGCCCACCCTTATACTGACGGCAGCTGCTTGACGTCGATCTTTTACTGGGAACCGCGTCTTTACGCACTGCCAGACTACTTAAATTAATATTTCTCAATTAAAACAAATAAGAAAATATTCAACTTTTCATCAGTTTTAAAGCAGTGTGAAAATGTTTATTATTCAGACATTCATATCACTTGTGGCAGCGAGCTGTTTCCTTCTCTTTGGGTTTGTTTGCCTCCAAACATCCGGCAAGCCTCTGGTGGACAGGGAAGGAAGAGTGACCTTCCCTATTGAATCATTTTTTCAGGTGAGCACTTTGGAAGATTTTCAGAATTTTAAGTCTTGAAAAAATTTCAATCCAACAGATTAATGACGCTTCGAAAATAAAATATAAAACGAATTTAAATCCAATAACTATTTAACCTTTTGGTTAAAAACATTAATTTCAGAAGTTTGTTAAATGATATGATATTTACCATTTATATTTGAATATTTGTTTAGTAACACGAATATATTAGAAATTTTAGAAGTCATATAATTAGTTTAGTGACATATTAACAGGTATTTGGTTTATTTAAATGTTTTTAAATTAAACTTTATCTTTCTTATGAAACTATGAGAGTAATTGCCTCATTTTGTCTTCTCGTGTGATGCTTGAAACTGTTTCATATTTATCAAAATAAAATAAAATAAAAACATTTTTTAAATTTGAATCGATGTCTGAAATATTGAAGTATTCAAGCTGTTTTTAGAAGGCACCGCCATGACATAAAATGATAATTTTGTGAAAAATATGCTATTTGTGAGTTTGCAGCAGGCCTACTAGGTCAAGTATCTTTAGACAGCATCCTCTATGTTTAGACTGAAAATGGTGCAAAATGTCAATAAGGAGAAAAGCCACAGTTTTATGGAAATGAAAAGTGTTTGTTGTATAATTTTTTCATATTTATTTTAATAGCCCAATTTGAGAACTAAGTCTAATGCTGTATTATCTGGACTTATAAAAATTTGCAAAAAAATGAGAATAAGGCATTTGATCATTTTTTCTCAGGTGGAAAAATGTCACCAAACTGGCGATTTTTAAAATTTTAATAACTTTCAAAATATTTAAGTTATTAGTCCGTCATAAAGCCCAAATAATTCTTCGTAACAAGATGGCCTAAACATTCCGCCTTTTTTTCAAGTTTAAGGTCTCTCAATTTTTCTCAGCAAAAGAACTTCGAAAAACCATGTTAATTTAATTACGTAAAAATATTTTTATTCATAAAAGCCTGAATAAAATTATAATATCTGATTGTCCGTGTGACGGGAAATCGCTAATGGCATCCTTTTTTCTCATTCAAATAATGATATAAAAATCACAAAATTTACATCCAAGTTCAAAGTTTGTAAATATTTATAGTTCTTCGCAATTCTTATTATAGCGAATTAAATTGCAAGCTAAATAAAACTTTCTTTTTTGAAGGTTATGAGATGGCTTTCATTATTTGGATTTGTCTGGGTAACGCAATTCATATTAGCTTGTCAAAATTTGGTTGTTGCTGGTGCTGTTTCTACCTGGTACTTCACAAGGTAACTTTAATATTACCTAATCAATTGTTTTCATTTCGGCTGATTTCAGAAAAAACTGACAAATTTGATATTCTGACAGCATATATTTTAATCATTCAAACAAACGGACTAAATACTGAATTAGATATTGAATTAAACTGAAAAAATGGGAATACTGATTAAATCTGATGATTGATGACTTAAAGTAAGGATCTTCAACGAATGGCCCTCCGATGATATTTTAATGACCCACAGAATCATATTCTGTTTAAATTAATAATTCGATAGGAAGGTGGAAAAGCCTTAGAATAACCACTTTTTCAAATGATCAAAGTCATGTTGGTGATCAGGCAGGTTCTTTAATAAAATATAAGGTGCAAAAATTTTTGGTTGATGCTTATTGAAGATTAATCATGATTTATTGTTTCATCAAGACAAAAAAAAAGCACTTAGCTAACCAATTTAATCAAAGAGCATAAAATTAAAAGCAAGAGCATGTTTGACAGCACGATGTTTGAAGGGTATTTGGAAATAACAACTATTTCACAAGATTTGCCTTAATTAAGGATTAGTCTTATATAGCGCACTTTCAACTTCGAATTTCTCATTTTACGTACTGTAAATAAGAATATTAAGTAATATATTACTATTACACATTCATTTCGATCTCTACTTAGTTGTTTATTTCGGTTTCTGCTTTTTTTATGTTGTAAATAAACCGTAAATTATAAATATACCATAAATTTTAAATTATGCTAATTCGACTGATAATTTTTTGGCGAAATTAACTATTCGCTGGTTATCTCGGTTGCCATCACATAAATCATTTAAAAAGTATTTTATGCTTAAAGTAATTATTATGTTACTTTATTTACAGGGACAAGGATAGATTGGGTAGTCCAATATGGAGAAGTTTTTCAAATCTTATTTGTTATCACCTTGGATCAGCGGCATTCGGTTCTCTAATCATTGCTACCATGAAATTAATTAGAGCATTATTCAGGCTGCTTCAAAAATAGTAATATAACTTTTTACAATGTATTTTTACATCAATTATTAAAAATGTTTTATTCGTCTCATTATTAAACAAAAAATACTTAATCTACAGTGAAGAAAATTGGAATGACATAAATACTTAACTAAATGGTTGTCAGTAAAGTTCAACACCCTTATTGAATTTACATATAGGCTTAGAAATAGCCATAGAAAACAAAATAAATAAAATTGATTTTTTTTTGAAGAAAAATTTAATTTAATATCGAGAAGGACTTCGTAGCAATCATAAGGTTTATTGATAAGTCTCCAATAAGCTCTTATATTTTTATCCTATATTTAGAAGGTGTAAACTAAACAAAATATTATTTATTAATAAACTCTTTTTTAGGTACCTTAACTTTTTTTTAACTTTTGTAACATTCAAATTCAGAGGCGAAATTATGACTAGCTTAAATATGCAAAGTCCCCTGCTCATTTAATTCATAAAGTTAATTGAAAAATACCATTTGTGAAAAAAAATTCTCTCATCACGAGAGCCCAGTGTTTACATCACTGAGTGGATGGCTCGGGGATGGTATTCTCCGTTTTCCTCCCCACGAAAAGCTTTTAGTTTTACTCAAAAATGAGTTAATTCTGATACTTATTTTGTGGTTGACTCTTATTAAGAACCATGAATAATTGTTGACTTTTGTGGGCGTCCATAAAATTATTTATACTTTTCCAACATTGTCGTGAAATATAACACCCGAAATAAATATGTTTAAGCAATAAATATCCTGACATATGTTAATAACGTGTATGTCAAGGTAGTCGTCAAATTTTTACCCTGAAATGCTCTAAGAGAAAGTTAGGGGTTTGTGGTTCAAAATTAAGGATAATAGAGCTTACAAACTATCACCTTGCAAAAAAAAATAAACAATAAATAAATAAATTCGGAAGAAAACTGCATTTGCTGGTTAATCAATCCCTATATTTGTTGATAGGGTTGACTAACTAACAAATAGAGAAGGTGTTATGGGTGTCACAAGTGCAGCTACAAGAATCTACCTGGACCCATAACGCATTGATATACTTCCTATATTGAAATGAAAAAATTCATTTGGGATCTGTACTATAAAATATAAGTTAATTTTTTCTTAGCAAATTAAACTTTTCAGTTGAAGATAGCATTATTTGGATCCGATCGAATTTATAGAGCTGTTATTAATAATCTTAACTGAATTGAGTTTCAGAGATTACTATTAAGTGTTTTCTCCTTTCAGTTTGGATCAAGGGAATCAAAATCAAAGGTGTGAGATGTGCTGGAAAATATTCCATTGCTGTTTGGCCTGTTTTGAAAACTATTTGAAGTTTCTCAGCAAGAATGCTTACATCATGATTGGTAAATATAATTTTTAAGTAAATTTTGAATTTATAACAAATATTTGAAGAGATTAACAGTTGAAACAACGATACACATTTGAGTGAGAAATCCACGACTCTCCGTTCACTGGAGTACAAACAATCTAAAGAACAATTCTTAAATGTTTATAACACTGTGTATGAACTCGCTTATAAAGCACGGCATTCTCTCGATTCCCTCTGATCTGTGTCTATGTATTGCTATATCTATGCACATATGTGTAATCAATACAAAGAATAAATTGAATAATATTAGAAAAGATTAGAAAAAGACCGCACGAGGACAGCATCTAGGTTAAAGATGCGGTTTGAACCTACTACCTTCACAACAGCGGAAACACCTCTCTCTTTTAATTAAAAAGCTTTCTCAGCTTTTGAATCTGAAGGCAAAAGTTTTTAATTATAAAAACACCCTGTTCGACTAAATCGTTTATTGGGATATCTTTTTATCACTTAATGCAGTTTGGAATTTCAAATTTGTTAATTAATAAAGCTGCAGTTTTTATTAAGGTTAATAAAATCTTTTTAAATTACTAATTTCCTCTGTTATAGCTTTAATCCAAAATAGATTGCAAGAAGCTCACATATTCCAAATATTAAGAAAATTAAATAAAATTAATTTCCAAATCATTAAGAAAACTTTCTTAATGATTTGGCAACGTATATTTTGTTTTGATTTGGTTATTCTAACTGTAACTTTATCTTTATTTTTTATATGTGGGCGTATTATTATTAAATCTTACTCTGTGTACTTTTAAATTGTGTCTGTTTGTTATTAATTTTTCTATGCATTTCAATTTCAATTTTTCTAATTGCTTTACATTATTTGTTTCTCTATTATGGGACCTCGGGGCACTGTCAGTGTTTGTTTTCACCACTGACACTATAGAAAGGCTCCTCTGTGTTCCCCTGATGAAGTGCTGCCCTGTTAACACGCATATCCTAAACATTTTTGTCGTTTCCTGCTACAATTGTATTTCTGACTTTCTAAATTAGTTTTTTATGTTTTTAACCCACCTTCCTCGCTCTTTAGTCAAATTTAGCTGATTTTTTACTTCGGTTTAAAGCTTAATTTAATCTAAAATCTCTAATGGTCATATTTGTTTTCCCTTTATTTTTGAAAAAGGGTCTGAAAATGTTTATAAAGGGGAATACATTATATGCTTTCTGTTCTTACATTTACATTTAAATTAAAAACTATTTGTAACACTTAATGTTCTTTTGGATTTTTTTCTCAGTAATTTATGGTCAGTCTTTCTGTGCAAGTGCTCGTCGTTCATTTGGAAGTTTAACATCGAATATTGGAAAAGTTATGGTTGTAGACTGTATCGGCGACTTCGTCTTTTTTGTTGGCAAGATGGGAGTTACAATAGCAGTTGTCTTTATAGCACTTGAAGTTTTGAAGGTTAGTTTTAACACCCGTTTTTACTTATAAATTGTTTACTACCCGTACTCGAACCTTAGCATTTTTATACCTTTTTTCGAAATGAAATTAATCTTAATTTACGCGTACAAACGTTCATATACATTCGTTATAATCTACAAAAAAAAGAAGAAAAAAACGAGACATGCATGCAAAATTCAGATTTAAAAATATAATTTTCAAGAAAAAGATTAACATAAATTATGTTTGCTCCATAAAATTTTTTGCTACTTTTCGTTATGGTTTCTTTTGTCTTTAACTATTCTGACCTTGAAAATGAGTTGCTAAATAAGTTGGTATTGGTTATTTTAATTATATCCTTACAATGAAGTGGAGAATAATTCCTGAAATTTTGATAGGAAACTTTTTTCTCATTTAAATGTTGTTTTTTGACCTTTAAAAAATATATTTCAATTATTTCATTTTTATCAAGGATTCTAAATAAATATATGATTCTAAATAAATATATGATTCTAAATAAATATATGATAAAAATGCAAAATACTTATTAGTTTATTTTAGATTGAAACAAATTTCTAGTTGTATAAATTAATTCCACTTTTTACTTACTGGTTCATACTGATTAAATTGAAAGCAACGTTTCTTTGTCTTTGTGTTCGATTCCTAGTGTGCAATTTAAAATAATTATACCTAATTAGGCGTTTGCAACTTGTGGAAAGGTGAAGTTATTATGCCTAACCATGTGATTTGAATCAGATTTAATTGGATATATGCAGGCGAGGTCACGCATGTTGAACCTAATTGGCTTCTAAGCCGGTCAATGCCACGATTACATGCCATGAGATGATATCATTTGCAATTGCATAGTACAATTGAATTAGTATATTGAATATATATTTTTTCTTTGCTTAGTTTTTCCATAGTTAGTCTTTAATAGTGGCATATTTAATAATTAAGTTCAGTACAAACCTGAAGAAGTGAAAATGTTTTTAAACGCATTTTTAATATGCCTTTGTTTTGCATTTTCTCATTTAACCTTTTCATTTTTACTTCCAAAGGACATGGAAGGCCTTCATTATATTTGGGGTCCTGTAGCAATTACTGGTGTGTTTGCTTTCCTTTCTTGCCACTGCTTTCTTTCCGTTTACGAAGTAAGTGATTGATATTAACATATTATTTCAAAGTATAAAATGACTATGGTTATAGATTTCGAAATACTATGAATTTAAAGATTAATTCTATGAATTTAAAGATGAAGTCTAGGTTACTCTATTATAAAGTATATGTCGGCTATGAAAATTATAATGAGTGAACAATAAGGCTTGAATATCGATAGATTTTAACGGTTGTGGGAAAGTTTTTGAGTCAGTCAAACTACACTTAGATACCCATTTTATATCTTCAGACTTACAAATGCTCCAAAAAAGGTGAAATAAAAATAGAAAAAAAATATGTTTAAAGATGATTTTTGTTACAATGAATCTATACACATTTGAAAATGCTGAACCCAGACGGCATTGTAAAGTTGATTTTAGTGCTGCATCAACCTTTATCACAAAGACCCATAAGGCTTATGAACGAGTAGCAAATAAACCATGCAAGTTTGAAACAATGCTAAATTTAACTATGATAGTTTATGAGGTTCGCATGAAGCTTGCATAACCTTTTATAACAAGATTAAATCTAAGAAGACTATGTATCATTATTAAAAAAAATTTGCGTTCGTGAACCTTAAAATAGAAAGGAAAAAAAAAGTTCAAAAACGAGATTTGCAATAAAAGCTAAGAAATTATATTTTTCTATAAAGGTTTATGCATGCCTTTATTTAATCTTGAAAAAATAATACTATTCTAGGCATTGTAAACTTTCTGCTTGGTTGAAATAAGTCAACCTTATTGTGTCCATTAGAAGAAACCGCAAATACAACATTTGTCACTCATAAGGTTACCTACTATCAGGGTAAACAACGTATTCGATAAACAACCTTAAATTTAAATATTTTTTAAGAAAACTGTCGTATGAGCTTCCTCTTTAATATTTAAAATGTGCATACTCTTAAATATTGAATAATGAAAAATATCTTTTTGGTTTTTTATGCGATTTTTATAATTTTCTTTAGATGACCATTGACACGTTGTTACTTTGCTTTTGCGAAGATTGCAACATGAATGACGGAGTCACTCGACCCTATTTTATGAGTAGAAGTTTAATGGTAAGATTTTTTCCCCATTCATTTGAGAAGCATGCAACCAGAGAAATTGATTTGCAATTTTTATTCCTAGGCCCTCATTGAAGGAAGTCGAAAAAGTGCAAGATTGAGGCCAGTCTCGAAAAGAAAAGTTGTGGATTGAACTAGAAATATATCAAAGCTTTTACTGTTCATCATATGTTACTTATCCGGAACAGATAAAAAAAAAAATGGGTAGTAAAAGCATCCTATTTTTAACTTTCATTCGAAGAAGCCCACCCCTACTTATTAACAGCTATGATATATTTTCACTCACAAAGATTTCCCAGTTAAATACATTGAGTGTCATTGTAATTAAGAAAAAAATGATTGTCATAAAAAGTTACTTTTCTCGAAAAAAAAGGTTAAATTGGAATTAACCAACACAACTTAATTCTGTTTAAAATGCTACCCAAAAATGACCTGTGTGACTAAAGAATTTTATCCGATATTAAAAATACTTAGTTCATTAAAAATATTTCTGAAACAGTAAAAGCAATTAAATTTTTGGGTTTAGAAAACAATAAAGCTAAAAGAAAAGACATAAACTAGTAAATTATGAAGAAGATTATTTACAGCATAAAATTGTGCAAATAATTATTTCCGTTTTATTATTTCATATTTTTAATATTTTCTATATTGATTTAAGATTACTATTTTATATCCATGTTGTGTACAAATTTTTGCTTTTATTTCTGTGATTTGGATAGGGTGTAATATTGCCTCCAGCGTTTCAATTAAAATCCGCTACTAATCTTATATTTGGTAGAAAATACTTATATCTTAAGTAATGCGTTTAACTTGTTCAATCAAAATTTTAAATCTTCGCAAAAGAAGAACAGGGTGGAGCGTCTACATAAAGGTAAAAAGCATTTCGATGTAAATAGACAATGAACTTATTTTTTGATAAACACGGAAGGCTGAAACTTCATATTTAGGTTCATCTCTTCAAAATTTGTACTCTATCTCTGAAATATTTCTATACTACCCAAACGACGTTTCTTCTGTCGATTATGGATCGATTCATGATTTTTTGGTTATGATATTTGTCATTCTGCTTTTAAAGGATGGCATAATCTCCAATATGTCACTAACAAACACATTTACTAGGGTAACATAAACTCACCGTCAACTAGGGTAACGTTATTCTTCGTGGGTATTTTTTGTCCATCAAATTTTAAAAAAAATGTATCGTGCATGGTATCTAAACTATGGAGAATGATTTGCTGCAAGGGCTAATAGGTTGCATTAATTCTTTATCTAGATACGGCAGATATTTTCCGCTTGTTGAATCTGCCAAGCATAAAGTTACATCATTATATGGTACTGCTATAAAAATGTAATTTGTATACACATACCCACCAACATTCAAGGTTTCCACAAAATATTATTTTCAGTGGTCATGGACTGAAGTAGAAATGTTTAAAATAAGTAGAATTTTTTCAATGACTTTTCCCAGGATCATTTGTCCACTTGACCTTACATATATCAGTTAAAATGATTTAAATGTAGAAGTGAACAAAATTCTCTAAATTTTAATTTATTGAAACATTACCTTTTCTACCGCTATTCTAAAACTTGGAAAATCTTTTTGCTGGTGGAGGATGCATTATGAACTCCTCGTCATTTTAATTCTTTAAAACTATTGCATCTATCGTATTCCTTTAAGACTAAATTATATCTCGATCATGCAGGTTAGAAGTTAACTTCGTGCTTAAAATGCAATATAGTCAAATTACGTTTAAATTTCTGTTAACTGTTCTGACAGCTACCATTTTAGCTCAAAAATTATCTCGAATGCTCGATTTTAGATCCAAACATACATTTTAAAATTGGAAATATTTATTATAGTGATAATGCTGCTAATGAAGTATATTTTGTTTCCCACTCATCTAATGCTTATGAGGACATATCATAATCATACCATACCATAACTTACACTATACAATAACTTATACCATAACCATAAAATTCCCCCAATGTTTACATACCTAATAATATTGAGGAATTTCAAGTATATCATGATTTTAAGAAGTTATTATTTTATTGTTTGCTAGAATCATTGCGTTAAAATGACTGAAGTACAAAGAGTGAAACAATAACAAAAAGAATTCTAGTTTTTAAAAAGAGAGGGTTTACCTCATGCTGTGAACATTTATTTGTTTTAAATCTAACTTCAATCTTAAAGCTCATTTCAAAGCAACAAAAATTATATTCTTTTAAATTCTAACATTTTTTGCTTAAAAGTTTTAAAACTATCACGTTTGTGTATTATGCAATATTACTTTTCTAAGAAGTTGAGTAAAATTTTCACAGCAGTTTTATATTTCTTTAGATAAGCAGATGTATGTTAAAATCTCAGGAATATAGACTAGTCATTGTTTCTTACAATTATCACTTCAGTTTGAATTTGACCACAAAAAATTACGGGTAAGATATTTTACCCTTTAACCTATGAGATCAATTTTTTAACTCTTTCATGACATTGAAATCACATTTCAGAACTCCCAATTTATTTCTACTTATAATTCACAATTTTTGTAAAATAAAACTTTCCAATCTTAAACAGGGTGACCACATTAGGGAAAAGTTGTTTTAAAAGTTGTGAAAAATGTTTCATTATGTCATAGAAAATTTTAAACGTTTTACTTTCACCTTACTTTTAGGATTTAAAGTGATCAGCTTCAACATCTAGGTACAAATGTACAATTTTAGTTTACAAATGTGTTTTTGTAGTTAGGAATTGTACGATCAGTTTGTTTTTGAAAACCGTCTCTGCAGCTTTTTAAATTTTTTCTGGATGTGGTCGCTCTAATGAAATATTTTTAATTAAAATTTTAAATGTTGTGATTTCTAACTTTTACAGTGTGAAAATTTTTTATATTTGTAATAAATTGTGTGACATCACTAATGGTATGTTTTTATTTATTACATGTTAACAGAATATCACTTTATAACTTTATATGAATACCATTTTATTCAAAACTATATAATATTTTATATAGTTTCAATTACCAATTAATGCTCAGCCGTAAAATGTTGTTGATATATGAAAAATAATTACATAAAAAAGTAGTAGCACATATTTTTTTCTGTTACTACTTTTTTTTTGCACAAACACACCTTTCTTTGATTTAAGATCCAAATTTCAATAATTATATTTTAACCATAATATGGTAGAAAGAACTTTTCTCTCCTCAAAACGAATCCCAATGATGAAACGAAAAAAGTATACTTTTAAAAAGACTCTAGAAGAAAATGGGTTAAAGGTGAATAACAACCTTCAAGAAAGTGACACTTAATATTAATCAAATATCACGAGGATTTATTATTCTAGATATTTCTTTGTGTACTATAAGGATAGGTGTTTCAAATTTAAAAAATACATTTGCAATGAACTGATCATTAAACTTGCACTCAAGATTCATAATATAATATATATATATACACCGAAGAGCTATTACATTATGACCACCCTGCTAATAACATGTAGGATCACCTTTAGCCCTCAAAACTGCTAGCACCCGCCGTGGCATTGATTCCACAAGGTGCTGATAGGTCGTCTGAGGTGTTTGGTACCAAGAGCTCACCAACTGGTCCTGCAATTCCCTCACATTGCGAGAGGGTAGCGTGGCAGCACGAATTTGGTTTTCCAAGTAGGACTACAAATGCTCTATTGGATTAAGGTCAGGTGAATTTGCGGGCCGACACATGACTTGAAAGTCACTGGAATGTTCCTCGAACTAATCCATGGCGATTCGACCCTTATGACATGGCGCATATCCACAATAATATACGATTAACTCAATGATTTTATATAGAATTTTATTAATTTAGTTGGGTATTCATTGTTTTTTATAAAATTTTGAAAGAGTTTATCGATTTGTTTTTTGGATAAATAAATATTACAAACACTTTTACAATACTTTTTTATTACAAATTGTAATATTTATTTATCCAAAAAAAAATCGATAAATTCTTTCAAAATTTGATAAAAAACAATGAATACCCAACTAAAGTAATGTAATGGATAGCCAACTAAAGTAGTTTTTTTCCAGTTGTTTGTTATTTTTTTTATTATTATTTTCCTTTTTCTCCCTTTTTTTTCTCATGTCTGTAATTTTCCTTTGTTTTATCTTCATTTTGAACCATATATATATATATATATATATATGCATGCAAAGGAATGAAAATCGTAGATACACTTGCTTCCAAATGTGAACCAAAATCAATAGACATAGCCTTTTTGGTTTTTTGGCAGTATATTCTATTGATAGCCCACGTATAATATAAAAAACGGGTAAGCAGCCAATAAAGGCAAATAGAAAAACCTCAATCAAAATTTGGCTTGTTGGTTAAATGAATACCTTCTAGATAACTCCTCTGACAGTTATTCGACTGATCTTTAAATCGGATCTCTCTGTTGCCTATAGATTCACTTGGGTTTCTTATTCCAAAAAGGTTTAAAGTATTTAAACGACATACCATCACATTTTTGTAAACTATTGACAGTAAAGGCATCAAAATTCAAACACTAAAATGTAATATGCTTAGTGATATTTCAAGAACATTCCATTTTCTTCGAAAATTTTTATGGTCCGAAGGTAAGTTGTAAATCTAGTACAAATCAATATGACTCTCAAGTTTTTAATGAATGCACCTTTTTAAGAAGAAAAAATTTTCCTGTTTCTGTTATAGCCGATTTTCTAAAGTTCTGAAATGAGTGGCTAGACAATTTTTTTTTCAATGTTTTTTCTTCTACAAAAAATTCTACATGAAATGAACACACACATTTCAGCACAATTATTTATTACAAGAGTAAAAATAAAACTACGTGCAAAATTTCCTTTTAAAAAAAGAAAGACATCCTGAGGGTGAATTAGATACAACGGCTAAATACTATTAGGAAGTGAACTGACTAAACTCTGTGAGAAATAAAACGCGACAATACTATTACCTAATAAGATATTGAACGGAAATGTTACTTTATGTAACAATTTTGAATGCTTTTATTAAAAGTTCAATGAATTATGTTTTGAAAACTGTTTGTTTTGTAGAATATAAAAGTCAACGAAAAATAAAGGAAGCCGTTCTTAACGGTCTCAGGGACTTTCCACACTCCTTCTTCTTATTATAATTTCATCTAGAGAAAGAGACAAAAAAAATTTATTTCAACTTGCGTATTATTACATTTCGTAAATGCCATTTACCTGGAGTTTAAAAATGAATGAATACTGCGTTACTAAAAAAAATTGTTTTCGTAAAAAGTGTTTATATCTTTAAAAATGCACTTAACGCCTAAATAAGATGAAATTTAAATTTTTTCAGATAAATATTTATAATTAGTTTTAAGAGTTATTTGGTATTATGCTACAACAACTAATTATACACTGTTGTGCTCCAGTAAAATAAGATTTAGTAAAGGTACACTAGTAAAAATCATAATTTAGAATGATATAATACAACAATTGCTTCCCTTTCTGCGATTCTGCTAACTTTATTTTTTACTTCTCAATGAATGATTGTATTGTAAGGCAAAAACTAAAGTTAGCAAGATATGCTTTTTATTTATTTTGCCAACACAGTAAAAACGTCACCCTGTTTTTGTCCACCCTTTTCGAATTCATAGAGAAACTTTGACGTTAAAGCGAAAATCAAGTGACGTAGTGTGGGCATCCTGATTGGTTGTTGAAATATGGCATTTGCATAAGTTGTTTTTTCCTTTCTATTTCGAGTAAGTCAAACTCCATCAAGAATCAATTTTCTTAAATGATTCATTCTTTAGCAAGGATTTCAATTCTTTCATTACATATATTTTTGACTTAACACAAAGACAGGCATGACGCCACGTAGAACATAAACAGACAAACTATGCATCGAAGTTGCCAGGTACACAAAGCAAAAATGTATCACATTTACAATAAAATGCATAAAAAAAAATAGTAAATCTAAATTAAGTAAGAGACGTAGACGAGGGGCGATACGGCTCTGTATTGAATTAAATTCACGTTAAATGGCATTCCAACTTAGGTGGAGAAACTTTCAAATTTAAGGCGTCATTTTGCATATAAATGATCGGCTGGCACTATAGTCATAGGTCACATGTCTGGGTATTCGTGATCATCTTTTTCTTGAAGTGCAAGTATCCAATTGGAAAGCAAATGAAGTGAGAAAAAAAAGTGCTGCTGTATTATAATAACAGATAGCTCAGTGAGTCAAATTGATATTTACAAGTTGGCTCTAGTTTACAAAACTAATCACCAAACCTAAANTTTCTATCTATATTTTTGACTTAACACAAAGACAGGCATGACGCCACGTAGAACATAAACAGACAAACTATGCATCGAAGTTGCCAGGTACACAAAGCAAAAATGTATCACATTTACAATAAAATGCATAAAAAAAATAGTAAATCTAAGCTAAGAAAGAGACGTAGACGAGAGACGGCTCTGTATTGAATTAAATTCACGCTAAATAGCATTCTAACTTAGGTGGAGAAACTTAGCTCAAATTTAAGGCGTCATTTTGCATATAAATGGCACTATAGTCATAGGTCACATGTCTGGGTATTCTTGATCTTCTTTTTCTTGAAGTGCAAGTATCCAATTGGAAAGCAAATGAAGTGAGAAAAAAAAAGTGCTGCTGTATTATAATAAAAGATAGCTCAGTGAGTCAAATTGATATTTATAAATAGGCTCTAGTTTACAAAACTAATCACCAAACCTAAACTTTTGTGAATGTTGTTTATTCATGCCGTCAATGAATTAGTTGCAAGCGAAAGGTGGCTCAGAGTGTTTGCCTCCCAATGAGGTTTCAATACCCGACGTTGCTTGACGATTTCTGTTTCCGGCTCTCACTGACCACACTCCGGATATAAAATAGTGTCAGTAGTCGGCGGCCTAACCGTATTTCGCTCCATGTAACGCAAATACCGGTTACTTTTATTAAACGAGGGCTAATAGGCCTCAATACTTGATCAAGCAGTTTCCTTATCTTCTGGACTGGGTCCGAAATTATATGGCTACGGAGTTGAATACTCATAATCGTAAACTGCTATCCAACACCAGTTATAAAATAAAATAAAATTTACTAGTTGTAAATAGATATTAAAGTGATTGGTGTTCTTAAGCAGATATTTGTTTCATTGGAAATTTTCGAACAATCGCACACTATAAAAAAAAAAAAATTATAAATTTTTAAAATTTATACTATAAAACTTTAGTTCGATATAATATCTGGATCTCTGCATATCAATAAAAAAGCAAGTTTCTAAGCAATCATATTGTTAAGAAAAAATCTCTGTTTATTTTATTGATATCTAAATACCCATTTTCATCCGGGTTAAAAAAAAAACGTAAATGATAGATCGATTATTATAGTTCGATCTCTGCTTGGATACTTGAAACCAACTTGAAGTCGAAATACTTGAAGTCGAAACTTTTAAGTGTTGAAACATCCTTACTTATAAATGAGCACAAAATAATTGAAAACGCAGAATCGTCTTCAATTTTTCAAAACATTCCACTCAAACAAATCCATTAAAAGCTGTATAAAGTGAGACTTTAGCATTGTCTATAGATATGTAATTTGCAATTTTTCGAAATTGCCCCAAGAAAACAGGACCCTATATATAAACATCTTATTACTTGCATGTAAAACCTGGAGTTTTTATCGAAAAACTCTTAAAAGATTCTTTCCCCAAAAGTTTTAAAAATATGGCTTTTCATTATATTGCCCCAAGTTTTTCTCATGTTGTTAAAGCTTTAAAAAGACACAATAATCGCTAAAAAATAGTGTACCAGTTTTAAATGAAGTTTAACAGTTGCCGAAATTCGCCTTTAAAATAATCTGTACTGTACCAACAAGCTTTACCTGGAACGGAACAAGTAGAAAATGCTTCTAAATTGTTGAAAATGCAAGCTCCCAGCGCACTTCTATCACGTTTCAGATTATCTACTTTAAACCATTTTTCAGTTTTGTCATCAAATTTCTCGACTTCCGAAAAAGTAGATAAACCTAAAAAATATTCTCGCTTAAACAAAGGTATGAAATTTTTTTAAAAAAAAGACTTCAAAGAGATTAAAAAAAAATTTTTTTTAATGCTGTTTATTAGCAGATGTCGCTATTAAATCAAACCTGACTGCAGAATCAGATATTGCAAAAGTTTTGCCATGAAAAATACTTCTATATTATAATTAAGAAATTTTAAGACAATCTATACGCTCAAAAGAACTAGTTCAAAATTAATTATGTCAATGTGTTGCAACATCTATACAATGCCAATTGTTACAAGATTCTGTTCAAGCTAAGCCCTATTGTAATATTTAACTTAAAACTGTTTAATATGACGAAGTCATATAATAATACCATAGCAAAGTTGTTGCAAATTTCAAAGATATGATCTCTCCAATGATCAAAAATTTCTAACAGCAAAAATATTATGTTAAAAAATAAAATTAAAATAAATATAGAATGTTTTACTCTCGAACAATGATTGGATCGATTGGTTGTAGAATTTGAAAGCACAACAGCCAGAAGCGGCTGTACTGCGTTAACATTACTTTTCGGAGCTCCTTCACCAAGATAAAAAGTTACAGTTTGCGCTTGAAGCAAAGCTATAATTTAATAAACTGCGCATGCCATCTTGCCGTAAAGAATTATCTGGGTTTCAGGGCAGACAAATAAATAAAATATTTTAAGAATTACTAAACTTTTTTAAAAATCTGTCATTTAGCGACATTTTTCCACCTAGGTGAAAATTATCAAAATAAATGCCTTATTTTCATTTTTTTTAAATTTTTACGAGGCCAGATTATACAGTATTGGAGTAAGTTTTTAAATATTAAAAAATTAGACAAAGAACTCTTTTCATTTTTACAAAAGTGTAGCCTTTCTTCATATTGACGTTTTGTGCCATTCAACAGACTGAAGATAGGCTTCACCTAATAGTTAACCATTGCAAGCTCACAGCAATTACGAAAAAAAGCCTTAAATCCAAAGTTATTACCTATTCATCCGGCAACGGTCTATCAAAACTAAAAAGGATGAAAGATCTCTAGTTCATGAATATATGTATAATTTTTAAACTTCTAGGTACTCGATACCTATTACTGCCGTCGAGCTAGAACTGCGTAATGGGCTATTGGCAACGGTCTGAGAAACATTCCCGAGAATGATCCGGAGACTACATACATACGTCACAGCCCATTTCACAAGGAAGACACATTCACACACCATGCATTCATTCGCAGATCGCAATTTTGACCTGATGAGGATGATCCGGAGACAACATACATACGTCACATCTCGTTTTACGAGGAGGGCACATTCACACCCTATCCATCCGCATATCGTAGCTTTGACCTGAACTAGAGCAAGGTCCATTTCCGATCCAGTACCCCCCGAGGTCTTCATTTGTTACAGAAACTTGGAGAACTTTGTAACCCCGACAGATTCACCGAGTACCAGTCACTATTTTGTGCACGGAGAAATTTCGGTTGGTGGGAGGGTGACCTCTATGATATGGACAAAACGCCTTAGGTTATCCTACCTCTAAGCTTCTAGACAGACAAAGATGTGATCAGGGGCGTAGTTAGGATTTTAACGGTCCTAGTTGAAAGACATTTTATAATGGTTAATAAAAATTATGTTTTATTTAACGAAGTATATATTAATCAATGGATTTTTTAAAAATTTCAATCAGATTTTTAAAAAAAATTGTATCCGCTCTTAACGATCTGACAAAATGCATCAATAATACTTGATATCGGATACAATAATACTTGATTCACGGAATAAATAAAGTCAGTTATTATTTTTTTATTATACTAAAAACATTATTAAGTTACAAAGACAGAGAACCAACTTGTCGAATGAAAAGCAAATTAATTTAGACCAGAAAACAGTTTCAAAACTAAATTATTCTTGACAGAGCAAGTTTTATTTACAAGTAGATATTAAATAAGTTTTAAAATTACTTGAATTATAATAAATGTGTATAAAATTAAATGGGTATAATAGACAATGAAAGAGCAAATTATTTTTTATTCTACAATGAGCACATTGAAACATGAAAATGAATAATGAAAAATTATAATTAAAAAGCTATATTTTTATCTGCATTTAAGCTTTTAAAAAAGAAATTTTTTGTTTCGTAATTTATTAAATTATTTCGTGATTATATGAATAAAACATTTATAATCAACGATATTTGATATCAATGGTTTATTATGACAGCCTTAAGTATAATATATTAACTAATGGAGTACTCTATAAATAATATTTTTTAGAAAAAACTGCTACTTAAAAAAAATCCTGTGATTCAAATCAGGGATTTTTTTTAAATTAAATATTTTTAAATCATTCCAACCCAGTTTTTTATTTTTCTTGACATTTTTCGCAACTTTTAGGGACACTCACAAATCGGTAATTGTTGAAATTTTTAAAATCATAAATTTCTATGACATAAAAGTTAAAAGTTGGCACAAAGTTTCAGTTGTTATTTTAAAAATTTACCCTTCTGATATAAAGGTACATTTACAGGAATGAAATTCATATTTGGGAAATACACATAACTCGTATGAATTTTATATTCAAGGAATAGTAAAAATATATTCAAGATTTATCAGGTGCAAAGAAAAACTTTGAAAAACAAACAATTAATGAGTTCGCTCAGCTCCTAAATGTAATTAGGGTGGTAACAAGATTATTTTGATTCTGGTTTTAATGGATTTGACATAATATTTATTAATTCACCAAAATGAATCAGTTATTTTGTGTGTTATGAAGAGTTCTTTCTAAATGTCACTGTAAAAACTGTGCAAATATGCTGTTGAACAAACCCAAAGAAGGAACATTATATTCTGGGTTAACACCAAATCGAGCGTTCATATACGATTTAAAGTGCGTCATTTAAATCTAAACAGTTAAAATTGTATATTCTTACTTCACGCTTTTACACCATACGAGATATATTTTCACTTCCGAAACTACCAAGGTTTGAGCTTGGCGAGCTTTGACTATCAGGAATAGCCAAGTAGAATATGACGAGTGGTTTGTTTACAATGTAGCAAGAGTTTGTTGTATTTTCCACGCTGATATTCATCAACAGGAACAAAAACTCTGTGCTTAGTACGCATGTTTTTAATTGTGATATCTAGGAATAGTAATAACTGATTTTATACAGCCGTTAAGCCTAGTTCGATTCTCTCGTCTAAAGATTCTCTCGCGGATGTTCGATTTACGAACTAATTTTATTTTAGGAATGAGTGTATAGATGCATTATTAATTTATAGTGCATCGTTGAAATAACTCGTACGGTATCTTATCTTACTCTAATAATAAATTTTAATGTCATCGAATAATAAAAATGGTGGCTTTTCACCCAGTAGTGTCAAAGAAGATGGGTGTATTGAAACGTAAGATCCTAGAGTTATGTATGGCGTTTTACTACACCACTTTAGTGTAAAGTTGTTGCTACCATTTTTGGCGCGGACTAAAATTTTTACAGAGTGAGAAAAATGTTATTTCTTATCATTTGTAATAATCATTACTAATTATCGCATTATCATTTCCAAGTAACAGTTCAAATTACATTCTGCTTGTCGTCACTATTTATGGGATGCACTGAATGATGCAATTGTGTCGATTGAGTTAACTTTTCATTAGAAAAAAATTCCTCTCCACTTTGACATGTTTATGACCCGTATGAAATCTGCTTAAATAATGTTCCCTGCCTCAAAACAGTTAGACTATATTTCATTCAAAAAACAATAACTGTTTATGAGAAAAAATAAAACTTTTTTTCGATGTGTTCAAATAATGTAATTGTTTTTTGATTTTTAAATATGCATTAAATGTATTTGGATTTCTTCAAGTGTATATATACACACCATTATAACCGCCCATGACGTACAATTCATTACTCAAAACAGTGGCTGCAAAATTGCTTCTTTGTGAGTGCATAGGCACGTGATCCACCCACTGATTTTCACTTTCTTCGTATTTTTCAACTATAAATAAAAAGTGACATTATGTTAATACAAAATAAATATTAACACTAGAAAGACGGAAAATTAGTATATATCTAAATGACTGATGGATTGTGAATGCGTAAATTAATTCGTTTAAAATTAATTTTTAACATTTTTTATATTATTTACAGTTATATAACAAGTTATTAGTAAATATTAACAATAAAAAAAATTATATGTTGTACAACAAGTCACAAAATTCTAAGAAATCGTGTCATTATGTACATCATTGTTTTTCTAGTTGAAATTTAAAGCAGTAAAAATGACCTCCTTAGGCAATCTAGTGTTAAATAAGAAAAAGAGGTAGAATAATTCCCCCGTAATTATACTTACATCCATTTTACAACTTTCTCTAGAGATGATTAAAGAATGTTTTTATTTTTATTTATAAAAAAAAAATTAACATTTATTTTTTAAAAAAAACAATTTTTTTTTTAAAAGAGGGGCCGATTAGTTTTATAAGATTATTCAAAACAAAATAAAAATAAAAAATGAAAGGAAAAAAAGAAAGATTCTATTTATAGATAACTATTCAGTATTGAATAAATAAAGAAACCTTCACAAAATAGCACACTATAAAAACGAGCCAAAAACCGATATATAAAACAACCCATATCCAAAAATACTGAATATAGAGGTTTTCTGAGAACTAGAGCTTTTCCAAAATAATCGGAAACTTCAGTTCTTTCTGAAATGTTAACGTATTTTTCTAAAAACAAAGGTCTTTGCTTGGCTCTCATATAAAATGTTTGAAAATAAAAATACAATTTTATCATGTTTTACTCTTTTTTTAAAAAACTTGATTAATATAATTATTGAGAGGCGAAAGGAAATTATGATTTGATCTCTGAAATGAAATGATATAAACTAATAAAGATAGTTTTTTATACTCTAAGATTAGAAAAAAAAAATAGGACTTTACATTTTATTTCATAAATAGTAATTTGAAGCTATTATTTTGGTGTATATCTTACCAGACTTTAAACGTTTGGATCCATCGAATCCACCGATTGCAAGTATTGATTGATTGTGGAAAACCATGGAATGTCCACTTCGAGGTCCTAACAAAGGTGCAATGAATGTCCATTGGTTACTTTTAATGTCATATATCTCAGCTGACATTAGAATGTTAAGACCATCAAAACCACCACAAACAAAAATTCTATCTAATAGAAAATATTTAATATGAAATTATTTTTTTCACTTTAAATAAATAAAGTAAAATTGATTTTGTCAAATGAAACTAAAATTAAAAAATAGACATCTATGAAGAAATTAAAAAGGGAATAGAATTTAAAATTGACTCCTGGTGACTGAGTGGTAGAACCTTGCGCTCTCTTGCAGCACAGATCCGGGGTTCAATCCTCGGACCGGACACGATTGACTCACCCTTTCGTCCCTTCAGTGAATCGATAAAATTCCAAGTTCCAAGCGTGCAATAAAATTTCGAGTTCCAAGCATGCTAAGAGACTAAATATTTGGGTTTCCGTATTTCATTGACCACCCTACCGGAACAACTGCTCTTGCATCCCAGAGTCTAAGGTCAAGAAGACAGGGATGGCAGAAAAGGTTTTGGACCTTCACTAACTGTCGTGTCACTGAGGTTAATTATAGAATATAAAATAACTTGCTATAACCAAAACTTGTGGAAAATCTACAACATTCTTTAACTCTCGTGGTGACTCAGGGGATAGAGTCCCTTCCCTGTCACCTGCCAATAAGGTGATCCGGGTTAGAATTCCAGCGTCGATACGAATTTCGCACCCGTCTCGTTCCGACCATAGTGCTGTCGTAAAATATCCTCATTAATAGACGGATCATGGGTTAGAGTTCCCCAGCCATCAGGCTAACCTTGGGTGGTTTTCGTGGTTTTCCTTTCCATGCTACTCAAATGCAAGTTAGTTCCATCGAAAAATCCACCACGAAGACAAGTTTCTCCGAATTCTCGATCCAGGAGTTCTCTTGTCTTCTGGATTGCGTTCATAGTTACGAGGCTGCGGAGTTGAATATTGGTAGTCGTAAACTCGAAATCGGGTTGGCTGTTTTCAGACGGTTATAAAATAAAATATAAAAACAATTAGAAAATTTAACTTTTTTTTAAATTTTGTGTTACACAGAAGTGATTTGTAGAATACTGTTACCAATAACCTTCTTAACCACATAAATTGCTATAATAATGATTTGTAATATGAATATCCATTCCGACAACTTCTTGGCGGTAGATTGGAACTTTCTACAAATTCAGATCATAAATATTTCCCCCTATTTTTGCTGACCAAAAGCATAACCTTTGATGAAGCTCATTATCTGCTGAAGCAGTTAAGTTATACCTCTAACATTTCCAGGATCATACGCAATTTTTTTCTCAAATATAAAAAGTGGTGGCAAAAAATTTCACAAATAAATTAAAATGATGCAGACTACCACGACATTAAAATATTTCACTGATCAAATCCCCGATAAATGTAGGTATTTTGTAATGTTTTTAAGTGATGTAGAAATTTGGAACACATTTTTTTTATTTATGAGTCATTTTATTATGACTTTGAATGTTGTGTAGAACTTCCTCTTGTCTGGGTTCTTCGTAAAATTAAATCTATAATTCTATATATCGATGCAATCACATCAAAAGGTTGGGAATTCTATTGTAATAGTTTTCAACAGCTGTCTGCTTAATACTTTAGCTTCCTTTCTATTATTTTTAAGGAGAAAAACCGTTCTATTTGTTGCATTTCATTGAAAATTGCCCGGTTTTATTAAAATTTTAAGATATTTCCACAATATTATTATTTTTTGTATTATTTAGGCGTCATTCAGAAAACTTTTTAAATCACCTTTATAAAACCAAGAATGAAAGTCATTTATTTGCATGTGTGCCTAGCGTCTTTTTAAAAAAGTCAAATAATTTTTTCACGAAATAAAAAATGGTAGCATTAAGTCTTTGACTATAAATATTCATTTTGCAAAATTAAGGTTGTTCCATGTGTATCGAGAACAAAAATATTTATGTTTGAAACTCAAATCTAAGCATTTATAGAAGTGAAGTGGAAGTAGGTAACAAAATGAAATATAAACTTTGAGTAAACATGCATGCAATGCTGTTTTTTCTCTCCGTAAAATCACATTTTAAGTCATTTTATTTAATTTTTATAACCGTCGTTAAACAGTTGATCCAATTTTAGGTTTACGACTATCAGTGTTCAACTCCGTGACCTTGTAATTTTAAACTCAATCATATTTCTTTAAAAAAAAGTAATTTACTTACCTTTTATTTTCAGAAAACATTTTGCAATTTAAAATAAACTCTTAGTTTTTTTTCCACCCACATTTGAACTTGTTTGTATGCGGAAGTTAAATACAGAGTAATCATTCTGATACTTTAAAAAACACTAAATCGCAGATTTTTGTATCTACAACTCGAATAATTTTATGATTTACAGAATGCGACTTTCGAGCTATCAAAAAGATGTTTCATTTTAATTTTTTCTACCAAAAGTTATCCCGATCAATACGAAAAATTATAAAAATATAATTCTCGGATAATTTAAAAAATTTCTAAAATTTTTTATACTTCATAATATTTTCACAGTAAAAACTTGACTTTTAAGCAAAAAAAACTCAATGAGAATAAAATAAAATAAAATATTCTAAATCACATTACAAGTTCAAGTATGAGAATCCACAGGAGAATAAACAACGTATGACAACATAGTCAAACAATCATTGTTATTTAAAATATTCAGATTAATTTTCAAAATTGTTTAATAACGTGTTAAAATTTTGAATTATAAATAATTCTCAACGCAGATAAATTTTTAACCAAAAACATTATTATGTTATTTAATATAATTTTTTTTTCTCCATTTGTTCAATCTACAACTCATCCGATTTCTTTTTCATTTGTTCAATCTACAATTCATCCAATCTTTTTCATTGTTTATTAAATTCGTCTCATTCAAATGTCCCCTCCATATGCAAAAAAAGGGGATTCTACTACTCTCTCCAGGTTGACTTACGACGAATTATAGGAATACAATTTTCCTGTTGAAGTAATTAATTAATCTTTTTGAATATTGTCTTTTGAATTTTTTGTCCTGTTTTATTCATTCTTGTCTTCTTCAATTGATTATTTAAAACTTTTCTGAAGTTCTATGTTTTCCCATGTTCAAGTTTTAAAAATGCATACGTCATTAAAATTTTAAATGAGGTAGCTATAGATTCAATGAAACACATTTCAATGAATAAACGGAAAATAAATATTTAAAATTAGATATTAATAACTGAATAAATTGCGCTCATATAATTATCTGTAGCCTAATATTCTTTTCGGTCAGAAGGATTTCATCCACTCATTGTTTATCAATATTCAAAGGATGAGGCCATTTCTTACCATTGTAAACTGCTCCAGACGCATCACTTCTTCTGTGGTTCATGTCGGCAATATATTGCCATCTATGGGAACTCGGAACATACTTTTCGCAAGAACTAGTCCTTACATCGCCATCAAATCCACCGATGGCGTAGAGGACACCTTTGCAACCGACAGCTGTCACATAACATCTTGTTTCTAACATCCTCGCTCTTCTAGACCAACATCTTTTTTCTACATGAAAGCGGTATGTGCTATTGTAGCAATTACGACCATCAAAACCACCAATTACATAGATATGTATACCAATTGCAACAACACCGTGGTAAGCTCTGTTCAAAGACAACCATAGTTAATACAAACTAATACATTAAGTTTTAAAAAAAAAACATTTTAATTAAACACATTTTAAATTTTGGAAAACCATTTCTCAATTTTTTGCCTTAAACATGTTTATTTAATTTTTTATTTTTGCATGAAAATTTAAGTCATTCAGACTTACTTTGTATAGGTCTCACATTATTCATCAATGAAACAAGAAATGAAAGATCAGCGAAAAGGGCAGATTTGAAGCATTAAATTCGTGACACCATTCAATACTACTTTTAATTTATCGCTTGCACAAGAACCCGGGCAATCGCATTCAAAGACCCAGACAAACGTGCTTTATTGCTTTAGGGCTTTTACTGCTTAACGCGTCGTATAAGACCCGATTCTGGGGATTATTTTTAATTTATTGTCCGTATCCCGACAGTTACCCTTAAGGTGCTTTAGAGATTGAATGTAACGCGTATAGACGCAACTGTGAGGATCCTAACATAAACAAAAGTCCACTAGCGTCACATAGGCCGGTACAAAGATGACGAAAAGAACCTGAAAATAAAATTAAAAATGTAATAAAATTCGAAGATACTTTTATGCATGGAACAGAGAAGTATTTGTCGTAGGAGATCGAAATGAGTACAGGGAAGGTTTTACACAATTTAACTTCAGGAATAAACAACTGCCCCCTTTCTGCAAAAATATTTTTTACAGTTTAAAGAATTTTATTTAACTTGTAAAGCAATTTTTTCTTTTACCTTTTAATGAAATTTTTCTGCCTCAAATAGAACCATTTCTCTGAAATTGCATCGAATACTTCAATAGAAATGTTGGGCTTTGAGCCGCTCCATCCCAGTACAGCAAACATAAGACTGTTTGGAACTTCTCTTACTCTTTCACTATGATCAGCTGGAAACTGGTGAACAACTTTACCCTTCACAAGTTTATCCGGTGATAATGACCAACTTCAAAACAAAGAGAAACACAATTACAGTTTAAAATGAATCTTTATCACTTAATATTGAATAAATTATTTGTTTTGTAACTTTATTTGCTATATCATTACTAATGAATTAAGGAGACTGGTGTCTCTTACGAGGCAAATATTATATTTTTAAGAAAGTAAAAAGTGGTACTTTAAGTGTTTTACTATTTTATTTCAAAGCTCAAGTGGTAGGTAACAGCAGGAAACAGTCACTTATTTTAAGTGTCTATGTCCAACAACTTTCTTCCTAAAGGAGCTTTTTACTCTTCAATTTCAGGAGCACGTTCAGTGCATGGAACAGTGATGAAACATGCACCTAAAAGTAGTGACCCCCCTTTTTTTTTTTTTGGTAGGGACCAAAAAGAAGAAGATAAGAGGCACCACTCCACCTTTAAAAACGCTGTACTAAATTTTAGAGGAGCTCGCCTTCTCCTAATGATGATGATGTCTAGTGACAATGATAAAAATAAAAGTTTTTCATTATTCATTTTAAGACTAAAATGTGCAAAACTCGATTTTATGCTATTCATAAGTGATCAAAATAGTTTTACTTTTTTCATGGAAAAATGGAGGGAAGGGAACCCACTTTATAAAAAAAAGAAAATGTTATAGTATAGTAAATCGGTATCTTTGATTTCAATGAGTTAAAAGCTTTATAGAACTATTAACTATAGTAACTGATGCCACCATCCAGTGATGCTTGTGAAAAGTAAATGCTCATCATTTACTGTTATTTCAGATAATAGATCTTATTTTGGTATTTTTAGAAAATGCACGCTTTTGAAAATATACCTCTAAGAGCGTATTCAGCTCAAGTATTATTTACTTCTTTTTCAAATGAAGAAATTACAAGTCTTTAAATGCTATAAGAATGGTAAAGTGACGCAAACACTGTCGTGGCGCTAGTAGTAGGAAAAGGTGAAGAAACCCAGATGTCCAACAATGGCGCATTTTTTTTTAATGTTTTTTTAGCTCATATAGATGGAATGGTTTATCTTCTGTTATATGTCTGTGATAGTGACCCACAAAAAGCAGTCACTATGAATAATAAATAAAACGAGCATCATCTTATTATTAAAATGAAATGATCCATATATGATCCAAATGATCTACTATTAGAATAAGGGTGGTCTGCATCCATCACTCCATTCATATTGTTTGTGTTACGGAAAAGGGACAAAATCCGAATTCATTTCTAACTTGTTTTCAAAAGAAAGATTTGTTCTCTCATAGGAAAAAGTCTTACATCTACCTTATAATTGTCAATGAGTCTCTTACCCCTTCTGAAATGACGCTAAACGTTTTATGACTAGATATTTCTCTTTTCCGGGATGCAGACAGTCCAGTAACAAGTTAAATGTATCCTTTATAGGTGAGTCCCTTTTTATCCCATCTTTTTTTTTATTGCATTGGCGGTGTTTGTACCTCGGAAAAGAGAACAAAGTCGTAGTATTACTATTTTATATTTAGCTTGTTTTCACAATGACTGTTCCTTGTTAAGTGCCATTGATAACCATTTACCAACTTTTTCCTTCTGCCAACTTTTACGCATTTCGCGTAATATTTAATTTTTGTATTTTAAGTGGTAGTAAAATTTATCCTACCTATTTATTTCACGAATTTATAAATATAATTTTAAATTATTTTGGTATACACCACAAAAAATAAATTATAGTCGTGCATATCTTGTGTGGTTTCATACAAAATCATAATGCATGATCTTGTTTGGTTTCATACAAAATAAAAATTATACTTCTGCCCATACTTTGAAAAAAAATCCTTCTGCTATTCATTTATTAATATAATTCTCTGGGGGATTAAAAGGTAGCAGCTTTAATAAGTCATTATAACTCATACATTTTTTATAACTTTTAATAAGTCTTGGTAGTGAAATCTGATATTCCAAAGTATAAAACAAGCTGGTTACGATTTTTTTTTCTTTGTTGTTTTCCTTGTGACTTTTCCGAGTATATCAGGAAATAAAAATTTCTTCTCCTGGCATAAACTTACTAACACTATTATAAACTTCTATGAATCGAGAGAAATCTGATATTTCAAAGTTTGAAAATGAAAAGAAAATCTTACGAAGAATCGGGGGATCCACAGAGTAATTTGCTGAAAAGATCGTTTAATGTTCTTTCACTTTGGATATCATTGCTCGAACTACTTGGAACTTTTGACATTGCATCGGGCTGAGTTGGTACTTCAAATACAACATGGACCTCAGGTATGTTTCTTGAAAAGCTCCAATCATTGTAACTCATCTGTTTTTAAAATAATTAAGGCTACATTTTTATTAATACTAGAAATAATAAGTGAAAGGCTAATAATGTTTTTCTGGTAATTTTGAACATATTTACCATAAGTTTAATTTTACTTTTAGCAACAACAAGACTTCCGATGGCTGAGTGGTAGCGCTTTGTGCTCCTGTGCCACAGGTCCTGGGTGTGATCCTCGAGCCGAGCAAGGTTGACTCAGCCTTTCATCCCTTCTGTGGGTCGATAAATGAGTACCAGGCATGCTTGGGAACTAAGCACTGGGGTTTCCGCTTTCGGTTGACCACCTAACCGGAACAACTGCTCTTGCATCCCAGAGCCCAAGGTCAAGAAAACTGAGATGGGCGCAGTAGGCCTTGTCCCTCTATGGGCTGCCGTGACACTGAGTTTAGTTTAGCAACAACAAAGCAAAGTATAAGCAATAAAGTAACAGCCCATTGTGGGTCAGAGGATCAGGGAGATTAAGGTGCCGCAATTTCATGACCTACGGCATGCTCGTAGCAATGTGACTGGCATTGCGCACAAGGCCATCTTTACTTCCCAGACAAGCTGGTACCCATTTTATTTCCTTTTATGACCGTAGTTGAACAGCTGACACAATTTTTTACGACTTTTGCTTACGGCTGCCAATGTTCAACACCGTAGCGTTGTAATTTCGAACGCAATCTAGAACACAAGGGAACTCCTGGGTCATGAATTGGGAGAAATTTTACCTTCGATGAGGACTTTTTGATGGAACAACCCATATTTGCGACACATCGTGAGGAAAACCGCGAAAACCTCCCTCGGTTAGCCTGGCGACAAAGGGACTCTGACTAATGATCCATTCACCATTGAGGATATTTTAAGTCAGCACTGTGATCCTTGTGAGTTGGGTGCAGAATAAAAATTGACCAGCCATCGCTGAGATTCGAAATTCGGGTCACGTCATTAGGTAGCGAGCTCTCTATCCCCTGAGCCACTACGGCCCTAAGCTGGTACCCATTGATCTAAAGCTGGAAGGTTTCAAGCCGCTACTGGGGATCGGACCCCAGTCTTTCACACTCACAGTTCAGTACATTAACCACTTAGCCATTTCGTGTTTTAGTGGCTAAGCTGAAAAACTAATTGGATTGCCATTTAATAATATTACAAACAAGACACAAAAATGAAAAAATAATAAAAATCATCGTAAGTTTAATATTTGAACATAAAAATAGTTTTTTCATTTTAGTTTCAAAAATCAAGATGTCGTGTTTTCTCTCCCTAATTATAGGTTAAAAATATCTACGAGAATGATGATGGCTGATGATGAAGTATTTAGATTAATATTTTCTTCTAAAATAATTTATAGTTATTATTGTTACGTTATGCGCTTTTCACTCCAAAGAGATGAATAATAAAGTGATGATGAATTACTTTCATTCTCGGGTTCAGAAAAACATTTATACACTTTATCACAAGATAGTTAAAGCATTTGAAGTACGCCAAGAATATGTGAGCTATTAATTTTAGTAACTAGTTCTTTTTTTTCTTTCAAAACATAAAGACTGGTGTCGAAACTATTTCATTTTTGAAATTTATGATGTTGAAACAAGACAGTAATGATCACCAAATTCTATTAACAGCATATTTATAAAATTATGCAGGTACAATCTTTTTTAAAGTAGCCAACGCTATAAATCATTAACTTCGTTTATGAAAAAATTTCTATCCACATTGTGTTCGTACTTCTGCTGCGTATGAGTAACGTCAGTGGTTGACCTTCCGAGGACTTCGCATTGAGAGATTTTGCATATGTATGTCGTAGGACTTAGGCTAGTTGGTAAATTCTACTCTTTACAAACTGCATTTGTTAGGCTTATAGCAGTAACCCTCGTAAGCGCGTTGCAAAGTGACATCGTGACAAAACGAGAAATTTTTCAATTCGCTTACGGCATATGCAAATTATTTTCCCTCAATATACAACTATAAAATCGAAATCATATCTTTTGTAAGAAAAACGGTAGGCAAACGGAGTTTAGATGTTGCATATACAAAGTCAGAAATATAATAGCTTCATGGACTGTGAAATCACCTGATTGCGATTTTCTCAGAACTTAAGTGAAAAAACAAAGTTAATTGAAATGCAAATGGACCACCGAAAGTGTTTCTCCTGGCATCCTTTATTACAAAATCGTGCAAGTTTCAAACCGTCGGCAGAGAATGGGTTTATTAATCAGTTTAAACTATTTATATCATAGATCTGGAATAATATGTTTTCATGCCGAACCTTTTAAACACTTAATGTTGCCGTCTTGTTTGTGGCAGTGCTAAATATTTCCAATAGTTTGGAGAATGAGTTTTACGATTTCTGGCGCCTGAAGACTTGTATAGGATGTCTTCTGGTGGTTCAAAAAGTGCAGCCAGAATGACTTGATAGTGAGTGTGTTCTGGCGTTAATTGGGTTTGAAGGCAATGTCTGCAAAGGGGATATAATCTGGTCTTGTTTGAATAAATCTTTATGTTCGTTTAATTTTTTGTACGTAGTCTTGCTATTGCGAATGAGAGGTTTCTAGGACAATCCGGAAAGGAGGGTTTTTTTGAGCATGGCAACTGCATTTGCGTCATCAGAGGTGACAGTGGGGGGGGGGGGTCTGATCCAAGTTCCGGACTTCTTTAGCAAGGACGTCTGCGCGCTCATTTCCAGATACTCAATACAAACCAGCACTCAATAAAACATCACTTAAAAAACTTATTTTAGATAGCATTACTGCAACAGCTCGCTGCCGGCAAAAATTATGAGAATTGAAGATGGATGATTAAAAAACGCATTGAGGATTCACTATAACAGCACGATGATTTTAGCCATTGATCCATCGCGACTCAACTTCTCATTTAAGTATCATATAAACATGAAATAATGTCTCTAAGATTCATTAAATAAAGTATTAGTAAACAATAAGATGTGAAAATTTTACTACCTCATGTGCACCCATGTTTGATCAAACTGTACTTAGGAATACAAAAAGTTTCAACACTAAACTCTTTCCTTCTTCAATCGCAAAATGTTTACCGACATAACCAATTTGTAGGATTGAAGGCCATATCTTTGACCATTCTGTTTTCTCCGAGGTCTATCTTTCTACAATAAATGCGCATTCCACTATGCTCTAGTGACCTTTTCCTGTTCCTGTTTCCTCGTTTTTTGTTCTTTTATTTTTGCGTCGAATATAGTTTCTGGCAATGCACAATTTTCTACCTTGAGTACCCATCATCATTTTTATTCGTTTATTTATTTTTATTTTAGAGCAGAACAGCTTTTTCCTTTCGCTTTTTTTTCATTACGATTGCTCTAAATTGGTCTCCCAGTTTTCAACATCGTAGCATTATTCAAACCTAAATGCGTTTGACACAAACTATTTTCAATATTTTTAAACTTCATTAAATCTAAATTTTGTAAAAAGTGCTATTATACGGTAAAAAGTAATAATTGTTAAAAATATCTTTGCTGCCAGACACTTGTCTTTAAGTTTTACCCAAACAGTTGTGCTTCGATTTTAAGCCAGTAAAACCTTTAGTAAAACATATTTTCTTTGAAACATTTCCTGCATTTTTAAGTTTCAAGTTTTGAATTTTACTTAAACAAACGAAAATACTTTCGTTTCTTTTTATCTATTGATATCAGTTATTTTATTAATTTCAACCAATGAAAAAGAACTACGAATTTTTTTGACGGTTAACAAAAGCTTGATAAAAATCATTGAATTTTAAAATAAAACGTATTACAAAAAAATAAACATAAACAATTACACTTTTTTTAGAAATTTGATTGTATATATTTTTGTTTATTGTAGGCAATTCATCCTTATTTAAAAGTTTTTCATAAGCAGAATGATCAAATGTAATATTTGAACACCAACAGCTAATAATCCATTTCAAAGCCTTTTTATTTTACATCTTGTCCCTAAATATTTTAATTTCTTAAAATGCATTCAAATAAAATCTCAATTTCAGTTTTCATGTATAATATTTTTCTTATGTATATAAATATACTGATAAATATAAAAAGTTTTCAATAGTTAGAGATAAATAAAAAATATTTCAACGTCAAACATCATTTTTTGTTAAATTTTGTGCCAAATGCTTTTCAAAAAAAAATTATGGGATGGATTTATAATAAAGTATTGATATTAATTCAAAGTATTGATTGTTTGCTTAAAAAATAATACTTTATGTATTTAAATAAGGAAGTTTCTTACTTTTACGGTTTTCGAAGAAACATTCAAACGAAAATATGTTCCAAGTATCCAAGGAAAGTGCAAAGCGTACTCTGAAAATTTAATCAGTTGAACTGATTTCTCAAGCACAAAGCAATCTAATTTTAATATACAGAGCTTTTTAAAATGCGTTTTATCTTCACTGGTCTTAGGTACGTGGATTTCAATGGAAGTGTCTGGAAACAAAGAAAAATATGCCAAAAAGAATTTCAAAACTCCTATAGGAAAGCGGAAACTTGAAACTTTTTCTTGAGCTTTTTTGAAGCAAGCTAATTTGTCAATATTAAAATCAGTCAACTGCAAAACATGTAAGACCTTTCCTTGTAGAAATTCCATAGAAGGTTTAAAACGATCAAATACATAAAAAAATACAACGAATTTTCTAGAAAGGTCTCAAATCAATGGAGATCACCTTATAAGCAGTAATTCTATGAAAATTTATATATTTTGACGTTACAAAAACAGAGAATTTAAAAACATGAATTCGCAACTGTTGCTTTAACTATGTTCATTTTGTTCAGCTTTTTTAAAATGATGAGATGGTGCTAATGATATTTGATGTATACGTGCACCTCAATAAGTTATTTTATAAACATTTCATATTCGTTGATAGTTCGCAAAATCGCTATTGTTTGAAATATTTTGATAAAATGAGTAACACATTTTTTTTGGTTGACCATGATAAGAATTTTGTTTAAAACGAACCAAATTTTTTGTAGAAAAAATTAAAGTGATTTCTAGTGTAGCACTTAAAAAAACGATGCTTATGTCTCGCATGCTTCCGAAAAGATGATGTTGTTAGCCAATTTATTTTTGGCAATTGAGTTTGAAGTAAAATTTGGTAATTTTATTTATTATTTTTTATTACTTATGGCAAGGTAAGATACAACCATAAAGTAAGAACAGCGATAAGGAATTAATATGAATAAAACTGACCGAGGTCATTGCTTAATTGGCAATTTAATAAATTTTTACCTCTTACATCTTCTTCTTCTTTCAAGGCACGACAGTCTGCTACAGACCAAGGCTGACCCAAGAAATGTTTGCTATCTGGTCTTATCCGCAGCGAGACTCCTCCAGATTTCCTTATTTACTATATGAAAGTTATTCTCCACTGAGTCAAGTCACCTAATTAGTAGCCTTCCTCGTTTTCTGTTACCCGCGGGTTAAATGTTAAGTAAATTATGTATATAAAGCTCCATCGGCCCAATGAAAGAACCAGCCGCCTTTATTGGGCAAAGGAATTTCAATGACTCAGCAGATATCTATTTTATGTATAATTACGCATCCCTTAATACAAAGTTAACAAAATGTTTTGAAATATTCTGAAATATTCAAGACAGTGAGGGCATTAGTACGCAATTTTTAAGCCGAATAGCCAATCTAGTATCAATATAATTTTTGGGACATAAATCGAAAGAACATACGTTATGAGTTTGGCAAAAGTTGTTACTAAAATTATAAAAAAATTTGTGCTTAATTTTCATTTGTGATTAAATATGTCTTGAAACGTGTTGTATAAATGCTAATTTAAAATCAAATAGAAAGTGTGGCGTTGCGGTCTGAAATACAAAGTCCGAACTACGAATCTCTGACGTTGGACTACGTCGCTTGCAGCCGATAATTGACGTAAACCTCATACCTGAATGGAGATATGCGTGAAGGGCGAAATCAACAAAACGCGCACAGTATGTTTTGGATATAACTTGGCCGCCTCCCCACAGCTTGCTCTCTCTCCCCGTCGGTTCTAGCTAGCAGTCCGGCATGTTCTCGCCGGTTACCTTTTCGCAGTTTTTTTCTATGCTGCTTCAATGTTAAAGTGGTTAAGTTTTATATATGTTAGAATGTTTTAGTTAAATTTACAAGTTTCCTAAATGTTAATAAAGATAGTTATTTATTTAAACTTAGTGTTATTTATGAAGAAACCTATAATCCGTTCTCGGGAACATTTTCATGTGGAAGACTTTTCTAGAGTTAGATTTCTTTTTAGAGTTTAAGTGGGGACTCTAACAAAGATACCAAACAACCCNAAAAAAAAAAAAAAAAAAAAAAAAAAAAAAACTGAAGTGGAAAAAATTTTCAGCGGTTATCCTAATCCAGACTAATCTTGATTGTAACTTTTAAGTCCATTATTTTAAAAGTTATTCCATTGAAAATGACAGTAAGAGTAAGCTTTAAGCTAATGAATCATTACTTAATAAATAGACTAAAAAATTTATTGTATCATTTAAGATTTAAAATAAATAAGTACTCTTCTAATCAAAATTTAAAATTGATAATAGTCAGCTTTTTGTAAAATTGTAATTTTCAGTATTTGATAAATGAACCATTTATTAGAAATTATTTAGATAAATCTCGACTAAATACAAGGAGTAATGGCGAGAGACAAAATGTTCGATCCTGCTTTCCAAAAAGCCTTTACTGAAGCAATTCATAAAGAAACGGATGTAAGATATTTCATGTTAATTAATTCAAAGTATGGAACAAAATTTCATTGTTCATTATTTTATTGAAACGCTACACAGAATTTTAAGGTTGTTATATGTTAAGGGTCTTCTTTAATCAACACCCTAAATATTAATTTTCAGAACTCTTCCTGTAGTATTCGATAAAGTACGCACATTAGGAACAGCAATTATTTATATGAAAAGGGAAAAAAAGGAAATTCTAGCGAACCACTACTGAATATGGCAGGACTTGTTCATCAAAACCTATTTGATTACCAAAGGAAATTGAATATTTTTCAAATTATCTCTCTTTAACTCTTTCTTTTTCCTCCCGCATACACATCCATAGACCCCTAAGCTTAAGCGTAAATCCCCAACCACTCTCATTTCCATAAAAGTTCTTTTTACATCGCTATGTTGCATTTAAGCTAATTGGTAAGTATAATGGAACGCAAACATTACTAATAAATAATTCAGATAAACACGGTGTTCAGTAAAGAACGCTCTTTTCAGGTATATATTTTATTAAATTTATCAAAAAGGGAATTAAAAGTAATTTTGATATCATTTTTATTTTTCCCTCACTTGAAACATTCATTTGAAACCTCTAATGTTTTTTTCTTACCATTTTAAAAGATTTTATGAAATATACGGAGGATGGTCTTATTTTTTACCACTTGGTTCTGTCCATCTCGTGGTGAAATATTTTTCAGAATTAACCTTTCAAAATTTATTGCCCATTACTTTATAAAGTATTCTGCTGAAAGCGGACAACTGTTTCCACAACAAAAAAGAGAAATGGAGCTGGAGAAGTTATAATGAAATATGGCTATTATAGGATTGATAGCTATGTAGCATTATACGGGAAGTATATAGCGAATCATTTATCCTTAACAACAAATTAATATTTGAGATATTGAATAATAACGAAATGTAATTTCGTAACGTTTTTAGCGCACAATTCATCACCTCATACACATGGATAGAATGAGCGTCTAGGTAGAATCTTAATCCATTATTACTTAGTTTCTAAATGTAGCTATTCGTTCGTAACCACGTATTAAGATTTGTTTTAAGCAAAAGTCTTCACAGCATTTTTTGTTTGATAATAAACTAAAGGGAATATAATAGAAAAGGGTGCTTGGTTTTAATCTCTATTTACTAATTTTTTTCCCTTTTATTAGTCACAACTTCTTAAATTTTTGGCGCCTATCCCGTTATTGCTGGATACTTGCATTGGTATTGCTTGTATACGCTGGAATCATTAAATTTACTCTTATTGAATTTAGGTTCGAATGAAATGGAATTTAAAATACGGATCACGATTCAGAAGATCTGATGCAGTGAAATGGGATGAAGATCCTGATGGGGATGATGACGAAGAGCAAGTGAGCGATGACTCAGAACGAAAGAAATTAACTTCAAAGTTGCCGCCGACGAAGGAGGAGAGGGCGTGGCCCGCAACAAAACCTCCTGTGTCAACCACCATACCAAGAGTCAATCAACCTCCTAGAGTTATGAAACCAGTATCACCACAATGTAGAAAACTTATCTATCAAGGTAAATTTTGAGAATTAATCCAACAATTTATGAATTAAAAACGATACAGGGTGTTACTTAATCATATTTGCAATGTATATTTTGAAAATCCTTCTCCAGAAGTAAATAAGTATATACATCTGTATGCGAAGCATCATAAGCAAAACGAAAGCTCGATTGAAATTTTACTACCAAAATTCATCATAGATAAAATATTTTCAAAAACATGAAAACAACTAGGTACCGAAGTCCCTGGTTCTTCCCATCAGGAAAACCGTTGTTTAGAGAGAATCTGCATTCATCAGAGAGAACAGTTGCCCGCTTCAGTGTTTTGGAGGGAATGTACTCTTTCTGAGGAACAGAGCAGTCTTTTCATCTCATTTTTATGGATAAAAACGCTCGTCCATACAGAACCGGGCTGTCTAATGAATACTTTGAGTCAGAATATATCTGGCATGCTCTTGGTAGAACAATTGCTCCCCGCTAGTTTCCCAAAAACATCAAGGGCCTAAGAGCTGCATAAATGGAGTAGAATTTATTGTCCCGAGACTGACTAACTTAAAACATTCTTTTAACTTCTTAAACAGCGGGTGAGTTTACAGTGAAACCTTCATCTCCGACAGAAGGTATACTTCATATTAAACCCTTCACGGTTCGTCGATGGATCAAAGTTTCATATAGTTTTTCATCTTATTCAAATAAAATACTTCACAAGAAAAAAAGGTTTTCTAACGTAACCAGGATCTTGAAATTTAAAAAAACGTTCTGAATCTGAAACCAATTAATGATTATCACTTCTTCAATCACTGTTTTTACATTTGTAGCTTTGCTGTGGTATATGGTTGCTACGTAGATTTTTCTCATAAGTGCTTATTGGTATTTATTACCTTACAAGTAACACCTATGTAACTTAAGGACAATTTACTTTGGCATTATCACGACGTTTTTTTTTTCTTTATTTTTAATTATTTATTTATTTTTAATTAAGTCTTTATTTTTAATTATTCTTCATTTTTTAAGTTTCTTCTAGCCTAACTGGGTCTCTGTGCCCTTTCATTCTTGAGCACTTTACCTTTAAAGCCAGGCACAAAAGACATAAAATATTTTATTTCAACTGTAAATTAAGGTTGTTTGAAAGGATTTAGCCATTTCATTTAGCATTCTGCATGTTCTGCTCGGTAGGGAGCTGCACTGCAATAACTGCACTGAGCAGAACATAGTAATATCTCTCTGATATTTCTAGGCGGCTCCACCTCCTGCTCTATAACGCTCCCAAATCGTAAGATTGTTTTGATTGTTTTCATATGAAGAACTTTCAAAATTATGATTCAAAACAGCGTTAAGGGATCTAAACAATATTTCTATCATGAGACTCACCTTTTCTTTTTTTTATTTCAGTTATTTTCTTTGTGAAATGATGCCTTCACAAACATGTGATTTCTTCAAAGCTATGCTGCCATAACAGTTTTACGTGTCCTGTCATCCATCTAAATCAAAGAAGGGGGGCAGAGTGTAATGTGGAAATCTAATGTTAAAATGGGATTTATTTAGCCCACCAGCCTGTACTTGGGACATATATATGTCCCTTAAGGTTTAAAAAGAATGAAACAGATTTTAGGAATATCCTTTATTTGTTAACGTTTTAGTGACAGGGATAGAAAAAGTCATACTTCTTTTAAAAAATGTTATTATCCTAATTTCTCTTTAGGTATTAGTCATGATGGTGAAGGTCGAAGAATGTATTTGAATCAGCGATACAGAGAAAGGCCAATGGAGAGATACTATTATCCAATTGTCAATTCATGGGAATACGGATGGGATTATAAACAATATGAGTGTGAGGATTGCTCACGAAATAAAAATGCTAAATAAAATAATACTTCGGAATTAATGTTATTTTCCTTTCCTTAATTTGAATGTCGTTCATATTTTACGAAGTCTGTTAGTCAGGAATTTTGAAAAAAATAATACAAAATACAGAAATTTAATTTAAAAAAAAAAAAAAAAAAGTCCCTTTGACCCAATAACGCTTCGTCGGGATGCCGGTGTCACGTCGTCGACTGGTGTCGTTTTTTAATAGAAATAAACGAAAATAATTTTAAATATCTGTAAATTTCTATAAGGGGGGGGGGGAACTTTATTGATAAGTACTATTGTTTATAATGAGCGCAGAATTGAGCTGGATTATTGGAGTTGCAGTAAAACACGCCTGCTTTCCCGTAGCCATGTCCACTCTCCATGCTAATGACTTTGGTTACCATAGTTTTGTGGTGTTTTGCCATATGAAAGCTCTGCAAAGTTCTATGCTACCCCTATTCTTAAGGTATTTTGCAATATAAATGCAAATAAATTTCGATGGTTACCATAGATTACCATGAGTGTGACTGTGGCAAAGTTTCTTATGAGCATTCAGATTATATTGCGTTTTTGCCTGGTTTTAACTCAATTCTTTTAAATCAACTCATAAATCTGATCATTAAGATTAGGTTCAACAAAAAATGCGTGTAGCATTGCGTGGAGGACATTGTGAATTAATTGTGAATTAAAAAACGATTTTTTTTTGCCGTGATACATACTCTGATATTTTAAAGCAGAAATAAATAAGTTAGCTTGATTAGTAAAAGAATACAAAATATTAAATTCTAAATTGACAAAACTATCTTTGAGAGAAACGCGCTTAAAAGCAGTAGAATTTTCAAAAGAAGGAATAATTGAAGCAATAAAGAAAATAATGGTTGGTTGTTGTTAATTTACGTCGCACTAGAGCTGCACAATGGGCTATTGGCGACGGTATGGGAAACATCCCAGAGGATGATCCGAAGACATGCCATCACAATTTTGATCCTCTGCGGAGGGGATGGCACCCCCGCTTCGGTAGCCCGACGACCTGCGCGCGAAGTCGAGCACTTTACGGTAGCACAGTTTAACGAGGACCTATACCGCACACCCTCGGTCCCTACGCAGACTGATCCAAGTGGTCACCCACCCGCACACTGACCGCAGCCAGTGATGCTTGACTTCGGTGATCTGCTGGGAACCGTGTCTTAACGATCAGTCCACTGCGGGACAAGAAAATAATGGAAATAAAAATAAAAATATTACTACCGAAGCCGACGTCTTCAGGGCGTACCGGTCTCGAAAGCCATAAAACAGAACCTTTTCTATTGAGAGGGAGGACAAATGCGAAAATTAACTCTCTCAGTACCCAGAAGGTTTCGTAGAAGTCCAAGAAAAAGTACATGAAATACATAAAACCAAATCAGAAAAGAAATTTCTTTTCTGATTTGATTCTAATTTGAATCTTCATGTGAAAAAACTATATCATTGTAATTTATTTGAACAATGAGAGTTTACCATCAGCAAAAAAAATATATATATATATCAACCTGAATAACTTTCGTTACAACAATCGGATTTTCACGAACTAAGTGCCAATCTTAATGTTCCCTGGAGGTGACCTCAAATATGCTAATTAATTAGTGCTAACTACACTACTGACCAATAAAATTGCTACACCAGGAAGGAATGAAAATCACAGAATGATATTTATTGGGCACATACATTATATTTGAAAGAACAAGTGATTATATTTTTAGGATATTTGGATCCTGAGGAATCAGTACTCAGAGCAGCCTCCCCTGGCAGCAATGAGAGCAGTTATTCTCATGGGCATCGAGTCGAACAGAGATTGGATAGCATAGACGTCGTCTAACTGTTCGTGCAGACTCTTGTTATCTTGAAAATGACCCCATTTGTTAACTCAGGGTTCGTGACGTACCTGTAGGATCCCTTACGGCCATGTGAATAACATGTCTTTCTTCTCGGCTGCTAGTGATGGAGGGGGCCACTGAGATCCTGCACAGCGTTCCATATGACCGTCATGAACCCATCGATTCCCTATTCTGCTAACAGTCATGAGATCTCGACCAACGCAAGCAGCAATACTTCGGTATGATCAACCACAATCCCGATAGGCCACAGTTCGACCTCTATCAAACTCAGGCACGTGATGGTAGGCATTTCTCCTTCTTACACGAGGCATAATAAAACTTTTTTACCCAAGAATAACGCTCAAATTCAATTTATGTGTGAGAAACTTACTGTCAAATTTCTTCTTTTACACACATTGTAGGTGTTGTTATCGCCGCCTGCTTTGCATGAATGCTCTGATAAGCTAATCAATTGCATATCACAGCATGTTTTATCCGTCCTGCAAATTTCACGTTCGTGGTGTGCCGCCTTCCTGGTGCAGCAATTTTAATGGCCAGTAGTGTATTAATTAAGTTATGAAATCAGAAGCAAAAACGTACTTTCTCTGAATAAACATATATTTTTTTTTTACATATTTGGAATTCTGACCCTTGAAATAGACAAAATTTAGAAGAAAAAAAATTCGTTATAATATTAGTTAAGGCTAGCTTGCGCATTCTTATAAGTTTTGCATTTTATATTTTTAATTTTAAAGTTGAATGATATGCATGAAATGACCCCTAGTCGAAAAAATCAAAGTTTAATAGTTACAGGACTGATCATTTCGAAAAAAACTAAGTAATCGGTTAAATGAAATAATAATTTACGAATCATTAATATTCTTGCTTCCTTATTACGAAATATTTGAAGAAATTTGTATTATAATTTCTTCAAAACTTGTGTTAAAACTATTATTATAGATTATTTAAGTAGAAAAAAGCCTAATGTTAGAAAAAGAACAATTTCTGAGATGATGATTCTAAAAATAGCACGATTTTGGAATCTTTTTATAATTTTCTATTTTAGTAGCTGTTAAACAAAATTAGGCATATCGAACATTTTCCTAATATAACAATATTTTTTTGAATTGTGCTGAAGTCGAGAAATAATATTAACTACTTTTTAAAGAAATTTTTTTAACATTATCCTTTTTAAAAGGGCAACTCTTTTAAAGTTAACGGGCATGAATAACTTTGAGCGTCAAAATAAAATTGTAAGTCCATAATTTTTTTTTTAAGTTAAAAACAAAGCAAACAATTGTATTTTTTGCTGTGCACACATATGCATTTCCTTTTTATTTCTCAAATAAATAAGAAACAGTAAATATGACAAAAAAAATAGTATGCTTAGTAAATAGTCAGCTGTTCTGCATCGGATAATCAATAATTTATCTTCATTTCAATCAATCAATCTATATCTTCATTTCAATCAATTTATCTTCATTTCAATCAATTTATCTTCATTTCAATCAATTTATCTTCATTTAATCGGATAATCAATAATTTATCTTCATGAAATCAATAATTTATTTTCATTTTTCGAAAAAAAATAGTATGTTTAGTAAATAGTCAGCTGTTCTGCATCGGATAATTTTGATCAGTAGAATATTTTTAATTTCTTAACAAGATTTAGTTCTCGGCTAGCTAGCACTAACTCTAAGTTTTCTTTTAATAAAAACTTGACAATAATTTAAAAAGGTACTTTGCTTTAAAAGAAAACATAAAGTACTAAAACAATTGATTAGTATATTAATGGGAAAATAATATACGTGGTAGCGTGAAGAATAAGATTTCGAGAAATGTTAAAATTTAATTAAATAGTTGGTAAAATAATTCTGCGAAACATGCGTGGACAGGTAATTAACAAATTTATTTTAAGATTAAAATGATATATGAGATGTGAAGCTTAAAAATGTTGACTATGTATTCGTATTAATAATTATAAAATATATATTGAAGAAATTGATAAATATATCATTCCAAATCTATGCATACTTTTGTATGTTATTGAATATATTGAATATATTCTTTCAATAATTGTATCAATTATTGAAAGAACAAACTAAAAAATAAAATTAAAAAAAGCTGATGTATAATCACATTCTATCAGAAACATGCCTTTATAAAACTCTACATTCGTTGAATAAAATGTTTTTATTCAATAAAATGGTTTTTTAAATTACGAATCAATTTTTAGACGACTAAAAAAGTATTTTGTAATTTTTAAAAAGGGATTAGCAATCGGTTATGAGTGAAAAAAATTTGAATGAACCTCGTAAGTTAAACACATTTAAATATTAATCCCCTCATTTAAATATTTCTTCATTGTAACCAAATTATTTTTTTTAAATAAATAATTTTAATTTTTCTCGGTTTCTACCAAATAAAATCTGTTGAAACGTTAGATTTCACAATAGCAAAATACATGGATTAATATTTTATAAAAAATTTATACCTCATAATTCAAATTTTTTCATCCACAATTAAATTAAATGATAAAAAATACTAAATAATTATTAAAAATTATTTTTTGCATGAAATTATCTTTGGGTAAATGGGCTTTATAAATGGGTGCAGTTTCGTTTCTAGAATTGCTTAATTAGCTTTAAAAAATATGACTAAAAACGCAAAAAGAGAAATTAACATTACGCGGTCCGAACTTTGGATCGCTCTCCAGATCAAAGTATGGGGACCATATTTCCAAGATTGCGGCTACTCCCTATATTTTGAAGGTTAAGAATCCAAACACGTTAAAAAATTTATATGTTTATTCAGAGAAAATACGTTCTTGTGTCCGATTTCGTAACTTAATTATATTTAGCACTAAATAATTTGCGTATTTGAGGTCACCCCCACGAACCATTACGATTGGCACTTAGTGCGTGAAAATCTGATAATTAGAACGAAAGTTATTCAGAGTGATATCTTTTTTTGCTGACTGTATTTAAGTGCCATATTTCTAGAAGAACAAACACTTTTCAGTCAAATCCTATATTATCTTTATTAAATAATTTAATTCTAACTGAAGTAAAACAAAGTAACAACTTATACATTTATTTTTTCAGCTGTCTAGAAGTTCTAAGTTAAGTGACTTTCATTTCTTGGAGCAAATTTTATGTTCGA